AAGCTTATAATATAATAAATTATAACATCCGATTAGTGGTTGTTTATTGCTTAAATAGCTTATTTTTGAATGGACGAGAAAGAAAATTGATCAACTAATAACTTAAATAAATAGTTATTAGTGGGTCTATAATTTACGGATAACCTTACGTCTGTTACTCCTCGTGGAAAAGGATAGGCCGGTCCCATGCCCGGGTAAAGAGAGAAGATGGGACATGGGGTCGGCAACCCCATCCCGTAAAATGAAAATCTTGCTAAAAAACGCCAACCAGAATAAATTAATTAAACCATTCAAACTCTGCCCTGGTTGTTGCAGGAAGAGTTATTACGCCTCAGAATAAAAGCCAAGATTCTTCGGAAGTAACGAGGCCGACACCCCTTTTGACAACCAGAGCAACAATCTTAATTGGTACATGTAACGTCCGGATAACGTGGGGGACCGAAAGGACCTCTAGGATCTTTATACGAATTTCATTCGTCTATATAGCTCAATAGCTTTCTTTCATTTTAAGTGATGTTGGTTAGTGATTGAAACTTTAAATTTGATTCATAACTGTAATCGCTTACCCAGACACAAGGTCTTAATTCTTCATATTGATTAGTAACCTTATTTTGAACCTAATAAGCAGTTGGAATTTCCCAAGGTCACTTCAGGTCATTTATAAATTATAGTCTCGCCTAATCATTATACAAAACAAATAAATTTTCATTCAGTAAGAGAAGGACAATAATTGGTGAAAACTTTTACATGTAGATAACATCATGAAGTGATAATGACTAGTGACCTATTACAAAATTCAGGAGTACTTTTTGATCTCCGTTTGACATACTGAAATAAAATTGTAAAGAGAACCTTTATGATATTCAGTTTTCGTATTGCTTTTTAGTTTGTACTAAGTAATTGTATAAACGTGGTATTGAAGGTGTACTATGTAATTATCCTATGAAGTAGTTAGTCCTACTTCCAATTCTAGTATTTCTAAGTATCAATTGCAGTTTGATTTCTTCTAATCTTAAAACCAATAAAAGCACTTGTCTATATTACATTTCGATAATTACAAACTCCGCATATTTAATATATAGTTCAAAATGATTTGAGAGGATTGTATAAATCATTATTCTTTTATAATGAACAATATAGAAATTGTGTAGTGTCTTTATTGCTATTTTAATTTTAAAAAGGTGGTTGATCTTAATACGTTTAAAGTTTTCTTTATCATTTAACATATCGAATAACTAAACAATGTAATAAACCAATCCAGATTATTTTGGTCTTTAATTATATATGATCGTAGATACACATACTATGATCTCAATTAAAAACTTGATATTCGCCACAACCCTTATACTGATACTTAATAGCATTTGAACTTTTAGAGTAGATATAATATATCAGTGAAGCTTGTACTCATTTAGAGAAATAGTGATACATGAATTCATAAACCTTGAAGTAAATATGGTTTCATAAATTACCATGAAGAAAAACTGTGATACTCAATCAAATGTAGTTGCATGTGAAATAAAGGAAAACGTTTTTTTTAGAAACCTAACAAATGATGTTAAGGAAGTTGAGGTGAAGCTGATGAAGAATGATTATCTTCTAAAACCCATAAATCGGTGGTAAAGTCATAGTCCCGTGTGATCTACTACATTTTTTGCACTAAAAAAAATCCTGTCTACACCACCCTATCATTCAGCCCTGAGTCAAACAGTTTTGTGTTGAAACATAGGCTCAAATTAGTTATCATTAAAACGTACTACGCAGTAAAGGTCATTATCACTGAATAAATAAGATCTATGCTTCGAAATCCTAAACGATATGTAAACAAATGTATCATATCCTACTGCGTTTATCAATTTAAATTGAATCTGAATTGACAGTTGTATCTCTGCGCTAATGTGGTATGGCAACTCGAAATGATGTACGTATGTATGAAGTTCTACGTTGCTGCTGACTGACTATCAATTTAAACATTTGTAGCCAAATAGATATTAGTGATTTACAGTGGCTGTGACCCAATAAGGGCAGATGATAAACATCTATTTTCTTCCATTGCTAAACACATAGTTAAAACAGGTGAATATCATTTACACTGAAATGATTTTTGTATTTTTTAAATAGGTCATAGGATTGATCTTAACTTGACATTTGTGGTTTTGGACAAAAGTATCTAGGGCATATACTAAGATTAATTCAAGCCCGGACCATATGAAAATTCAAAGCCCCTCTCGGTATTCGGAAATTTTTTTCTCACCCTAAACCTACCCTAGTATTATTAATTCATTATTCAGAGTGATGTTTCACATTGCTTTCTTTATTATCTTTGTTTCGTCTTAGCAGCCTCCAATTTGTTTAGTTGACCTTTTATAATTCATGTATGTTCTTAAGATGAATTTGTGTGATCTGCTTGTTCGAAATGTATTATGCTATCACGTGCAATTGAGTTTGTTCACAATTAATTCAATCAAGTCATTTTATTAACTTAATAAGAAACTGAGTCATCCGTACAACAACAACAACTTATCTATATCATTGTATCTTTATTACTATTGCGAATGTATGAACATGTATGCTTGAGCATTGCTTACTGCCTACACATTTATTCACGCTGCTAGCCTTACTACTAACCGCTTAATTGATTCGATGATTCATTCATCTCACTGTGTATATATACGTCCATGTTATTCATGTTGATTGCTCTCTGTCGCTTAATTGTACTCGCTTACTTGTACTCATATTCGCTGACTCTCTCGCTCTCTCACTTGCCTGGTTGCCTTTCGGCACAACTCTTCTATGCTTGTTTAACACATCTGTAATTTTGGATATCTGTGTGTGTGGTCCCATAATAAACATAATCAACACTTCATATTGGCCTTCTGATTAATATACCGTTGGTGCGTTATCTAGTGACGGTTATCAAGACAAACTGTATACGAAGTTTAAGGATTATATTGAATACCCACCACCACACATTGATGTTTGGTTACATCAATAAAATCAAATACTTTGTTTTATCTCATGGAATATAATTTACTAGAAAGATCTATGTTCCTAAACTTCAATCATAAGTAATTGAAAGAAGTTATCCTACAGTGTAATTAGATTAACTATTTGGAACTATACTGAATTGAAGAAAGTGCAGTTGGCTGTTTGTCGCATTACCCAAACTTAGGTTTGTACTTATTCTCGTTTTAAGACAACATTTAGAAAGGCAACCATCACTTCATGTACCACTAGACTACAATTTTTCCCTTTCCTCATGAATTTAAACTGCATATATATATCAATGAGTGGTCAAATTTCAGTCTAACACACTTAGCAAGAAATGTACACCACACAATAATGCCACTTATCAGTGTGTAAATTACCGTTTTCCAACTTAGTGGTATCGTAGTCATTATAAAAATTTCGTTGCTGATTTTCATCTTCTGTGTTGGAGGATTGAAATGTAAGCTAATAGGATGTCTTAAACGATTGCAATTCAGTGATCCATGTTGTGTAATTTTATACTTCCTGACGTCACATATAGATGAAAATAGCGTTAAAATTTATTGAGGAAAATTATTATTCGTTAGTAGAATGAAGAATCTCAGCTATATAACTGCTGTAAATAATTCAGATGTTCCTTTATAAGGTTTACTGTATCTAAATTATTTGCAGTAAAATATATCACTTATAACTGGTATAACTGCTACATTTCTAATATATTTAAAGATTAATGTAAATGGATCTGGTTATTGTCTAGTAACAGAATAATCATATAATTTAGAATGCATGAGATGAGTTGAGACTTGGAAGATATTGGTATAATACATTTTTCTAACTATAATTGTTTTAAGGTAATCGAAAATGAACAAACACTTAGTAGTCATGAAATGGTGAAGATTTGTAGCTCAGGTAGAAACTGATGGAGTTTTGTTCTCTAAGATTTAAGGTCAACAAGAACCAATTAACATCGAGATCTACAAGACAAGCTGTGAGCCATATGTGGAGAAATTCGAACAGTTCACTTCTACCTGAAGTTTTTGCTGATGATGTCGTTCAGAAGAACGATGAAAGCTCCATAGCCAAACCATGCAGCTTAGAGAACGAAACTCCATCAAAAACTTTATAGTCATGTTATGTACTTTTCTTCTTCTTTTCCTTAAATAATCAATACTCTTAAATCTCTGTGTGCTTTCCTCAGTTAATGTATTTCTACATGGCAATTACTACTTTATACTTCTGAGTTTTGATAGTACTTTGACATTATTTACAAACATTATGTTTCTATTATGTATTGTTGGCAATAAGTACTCCAACATCATAAGACAATGTTTGTAACTTTCCTTTCGATAGCAGTTTAAACTAGAAAAATGCTTCTGGTTGACATTTTAACCCAAATTTATATAATTAATCTATATTTTGAACGTGAAACTAAAGAACTTATCCTCTTTCGCTATAATGAGCGTAAAAGATTTCGGTACTAGTTTTAACCTGATACAAATGTAAGTTCACTCTTGGATAAGGAGGCATATGTAATAATGCACACACTTCGTGCGTTTTTTTTATATATATTTTTTTCTAGTTATGACAAAGAGAACAATGTAACTCCATGTGTCAATTGAATTTTTAGACAGTAAGCGTAATGTAAAAGATGATTGCTAGTTAATTATCGATACTTAGATCTTATTAAGAAAACATAAGTCTTTTGGTAACAAGATGGATCTCTAATAAGTCAGTATATTTCTGACATGATATACAGAGTATGAATGTTATGAATGTGTTAATAGCTTATAATGTAGTTTTGATTATACTAGGTTTAAAAACAATAAATATCTACCTGAAATTTGTACTCATGATATCGTTCAGAAGAACGATGAAAGCTACACGACCAAACCATCTAGCTCAGAGAACAAAACTCCATCATAATAAATATCTTTTAACATTAAAAAAATCCATTTCATTTCTTTTACTTTAAATATTATTCAATTCACTTTATTTATTCTATAAATATTCAGAATTTGGACGTACTTATCAATTTGAAGTGGCTGCCTACAATGGAGTTGATCTTGGTCTACCAGCTCAATTAAATATTAGTACACCTGAAGATGGTAAGATTGTTTTATTTTCTTCTTTATTCTTATTGTTATTAAACTAAGAAGATTGTATTATTGATAAATAGTTCTAATAGTATCATACAATTTATTTCAAGTATTACCAAAAAACATCATATTTCCTTTTATAACAGTTTCCTACCGCTGTTACTGTACTAATTTCTTTACTAATCACTCAAAGTTTCATTGACTATAAAGGTTATATCTTATTGTAAAGCATACTACTGTATCATACTGTTTATCAGATAATATTTTACAGAAAAATTAGCATCACTGGTTTATTCTTTTTTAAGCTTTACAAATATCATGTGGATAGTTTATCAGACTATTCTCTACACTTAAAAAGGAAGAATGTATATGTAAAATCTCTGCGAAAGAATTTCAAAAAGCTTGAATCAGATTGCCTGGTGAAACGTTGGATTTAATTCAAATTCTCTCGCTGAGATTTTACAATTACATTCTACCTCTTTGTTATAGCCCAAAGCCGCCAATCAGAAGCAGCGAATTGCCGATCCGACCAAGGAGCTCGTGCGATCAGCCTAGAGTCCTAATTGGTCCTGCTTTCCGCCTAGCCCAGCCAGTTAAGTCCAGAACACCAATTCGAGCCTCTGCGATATGAATCATCATATTTCAAACATACTGAGTTTATATACCAATCAAACAGACCACAACGTGGCATAAAATAGAAAATAACATTTGTACAAAATTTGGCCAAATGTGACTGTGAATATGGGAGACAGTGACTAATAGACTGGGCATAATTCAAGAATGGTAAAACGTATAATAATGGTTCATAGGTCAAAATAAAGCTTATAATAAGAGGAACATGAATATGAATAGTTTAGTTATTCAACAATTATACGATAAAAATATACGTTTAGTATTGGTCCATAAAAGGATCCCAAAGTTCATTATGTTTATATGGACCTAACACTCTTTGATATCTCACATTTCTTACACTTGTTTATAGATTTTTACTTTTTTATAAAATTGAACTTTTATACGTAATACGTCAGTATGATGTTAGTCTTTTGGTAAACATTGTTAAAAGTATTTAAGATAAAATTTAAATTATCCGTTTAGTGCATATTTTTGTTGAAATAAAGAAGAGACCTGTTATTTATTTCCCTTTACTTTTTCTTCGATGCATTCCTACAGACCATAGGTGATGTAGGAATAAGTTACACGAAATACATGGTGGGTCAAATCATTACATGGCAGTTATCTATGATGTCACTAACTTTTAAACTGAGCCCTGTTACGAAGTACAGGCTATCTGGTTAATGTATGTAAAATCATTGTGACCATTGAATAGGAACGTTAGTTATATGGTTCATAATCTATCACGATGGTAGAGATGCATACAATGCTTGCTTTGTCTTATATATTGAGGTTAAAAACTATTTTATGCCCTATGCTGTTTTTTACTATCAGTGATACTACAAATACTACTAGTATTCTAACGTTCATCTTGATAGTTTCGTTTTTCTTTGTTAATGCCATGTGTTTTAACCTGGAAGAAGCACATAAGTGACAGCTTCAGTGATATTTATTGCTGGCAGATTTCTTTGCGCGTTATTTTATTAAACATCTGATAAATTTTTCCCATTCTTCACTCAGATCTTTAAAATTAGATTCACTTATTTTTTCGAATTCCTTTGGATAATCAAACTTTTGATAATGAAATCTAATGAACTGAGTCCGGAATTGAAGTATATTTCACCGATGAGTCGTGGAACTGTCGTTACATATTTACAAAACACTAAATCGACATTAATCTGAATAAGTTATTATTGTCTTTAGTTACCATATATTAATTCTAAACCGAATCGATCTATACATTAACAATGAGTTGATATTATGAAGACAAACATGGTTAACGAATATTACGCAACAGTGTACATAACTTTAGTAATAGATTAAGTTTAACAGCTTTATATTTTAGAAGATGCTACATTACCATATATATGCAGAGTATCGTTAATACATCTTCCAAGTTCTTTATTTTTATATTCCCAAAGCATGAACTTCCAAAATATTGTACACAAAGTGCTTGACATTAATTGAGCTATGATTGAAATTCTTTTACATAAATTTGTCTATGAATGTTATCCTTAAATAAGGCCATAAGAAATGTGATTTCACTTGATCACATTCTGTCTTCGTATCGATTATTTATTTTGTTACACGACTGTCTAGACGAAGCGTGATTTTCTGAAAATAGATATCTCTCACCCGATAGTTAACCACAGATTTAATGTAAACAAGTAAAAACCTTTTATAAAATTGATGGTTACAATTTTCAATCTCATAATTTGTTACAGGATGCTTAATAATCTTACAATATGTAAGTGTATTTCCCCCATTTGTTTGGTTTGAATGTTCATTTCGCACTTAAACATTGTAACATGATGTACGATCAGGACTTTTAGAAATATATTACACTTATACATCACAGTAAATGACTAATATTTGAACGAAGAATATTCCTTACGATAAATTCTCTTCCGGTTGTACAATTATATATCCAAATTATTAATCCGAAAAATTACCAGGTTGAAGGCAATGTACATCCGGATGAAGAAACCGGAGCTATATGTTCAGAAGAAATATCTTCAACCACTCCCCCTCCCCTGGCCAATCTCAAGGCCAATTATTCAATAATAATCTTAACTATTTAATGACCTCATTTGACTATCGTAATTACGACCTTTCGTAGTCAAATGTAATATGCTCTGTTATATTTATTGTATTCTTTGCATTATTATTATTATTACTATTGGTTAAACATAATTGTTGGTCTCTCCTATACACGATTCATTCACTTCGCATTCATCCCCCTTTATTAAGTCTTACTCATTTTTCACACAATATAGTCTTCCACAAAACATTTGACTGAATGATAATTGTATCATTATTTCTCTTACCAGATCTGATCCATATTTATTCGGATCATGGATCTTAAATTTCACCTTACATATATGCAGATTCAAGTTAACATTCTATATGTCATATTAACATTAACAATTTTATTGTATTTTGTTTGACAATCCTAAATTCACATGGTTTAAATGATTCACTTTACCCTTAAGCTGGTCATTTTTCGGATCATTAATTTGGATATATAATTGTAGAACCTGAAGAGAATTTATCGAAAAGAATATTCTTCGTTCAAATATTAGTCTTTTAATATGATGGGGATCTTTAAACGATATCACACAGTTCTAATACATTTTATATTTTTCAGTAAGCTAATCTAAATTTATGGAAAAGCATTGCTTAAATTGTTCTGAATAAGTTTTTTTTTAATAACCGGATGTAATTAGTATTGAAACATAATTGTCGTTAGTTCTATTGTCCATCAGAAATTAGGACAATATTAAAATGAATCTGATTTATTACTAAATGAAATAAGCATATCTTGACAAACATGTCAAGTAATGAATTTACGGATAACTTGTATCACAGACTGACTGAAATTTGAAAAAAAATAAATAGAAACCAATAAGCATCGGACAGGTCCTTTGTCCTATTTTGGAACTCCTTAAATGTACACACTTACGGTCATTGTGGAGAAATATATCTGAAAATTGGACTGATATTAATAAAACTGTCAACTAAACAGTGATCATATTTTCTCTTACTAGTTAGTTTAAAAATACATTCCACAAGGTCTTAGGGAGTGGTCTTGCCTGGTAGTACTTAATCATGTCTAGAAATAAGAAAAAGAAAAAAAGTGATGCATTATACTCCGACCTAGCAGTTTTAAAGTGTTTTGTTAGGAGTGATAATTTACTATTGTCGAGGACAGTACTGAAATCTGGTGTTTGTTTTGACGTCATTTCGAATAAACTCTGTGTACTTTGATAAAAGTTACCAAATAGAACGAAACAGTTATTGACATGAGTCCCGGAAATTCTCGGTAACCTACGCAAATAGCTTTATAATATACCTCAGATAGCTTAAATCTTTTAGAGGCATCACTAAAGTAAATTTTGTTTCACCTGATTTCAGTCAATTGAGCATATCTGCCTTCCATTTAAGTTAGTCGGGAAAACTAATGTAATTACAATTTATAACGTTCGGTACTATATATTAAAACAGAATTATGTATAAGTGTATTAAAGGAATAAATATACACTTTATAATCAGTTCACTTTACATCTGTTATTCTCACCAATCACGGGTCTTATACTCCATGGCATAGTTTATTGAGATTTATTAAAATTTATGTCAATTGAGTGTTATATCTCATGTGAAATAAAAATTTCTTATTTCTTTCATTAAGTTTCATTAGAATTAAAAGTTAAGCCTATCGATGAACTTAAGTAAAAAATGTCTTGATGTGAACTTCAAAGGACTTAACATAATAAGATAACAGATCTACTATCAGGATCAGTGTCTTGATCAACTATGGATAAATAGAATCTTTTAGTTAAATAAATCTAAATGAGTTGGCTAAATTAAAACAATACCACATAAAATGATAGCATTTGTAGAAACCATTTGATTTTTCTCATTGAAAGCTTCGTGAATTATAAAGTGCAATTTAATAAAATCATGAGTTTCACATATCAAGTAGAATGAAATATAATTTGTGATATTCCTTCGCAATTATTACAAACTATGAAAACTGTATTGCATAATATTGCATGAAACATGTTTATTATAATAAGAGGGATTTTTGTGGATATTATAGTAATTTGATAGTTGAATTCATGATTCAATTGAAGCTAGAACACGATGGAAAACCTGGATGTACTTGACGGCCGTTTCGTCCTAGTATGGGACTCCTCAGCAGTGCAGATCCACGATCCCGCCTCGTGAGATTCGAACCCAAAACCTACCGGTCTCGCTCAAGAACGCTTAACCACTAGACCAGTGAGCGGGCATCAAATGGTGTTAATATCTTACTTCAACCAATCCATGAAGTTTGAATCTCGCGAGTTGCGATCGTGGATCAGCACTGCTGAGGAGTCTTATACTAGGACAAAACGGCAGTCCAGTGCTTCCAGGTTTTCCATAGTGGTCTAGCTTCAATTGACTCATAAGTTCAACTATTGAGATATGTTTATGTTACTGATAGTTTCACTATTTTCAGAATCTATTTGCAGCTAAGACATCTTATTATGTTATTCATACATAACGTCTTACAATTTCTTCATATTTTGGTTTGTTTACTTGATAGATGTTGTTAAACATGAAATATTCAGTTTACAAAATCTACAGTAAATAATCTAACACAAATATATGTATAGAAACTTAGTCTTACACTGTTGTTTTTGGGCAAAGAATCAACACCTAATTTTATTCTTTACATTTTTTTCTAATATAAACTAATTCAGTACCTGGAAGTTATTCACTACATGTACGTGTTAAAGGACTTTCGGCAACTGCTATAGAAGTTGCATGGACTCCACCTTCAAGACAAAAATGGACTGAAGAAATTACTAGCTACCAGGTAATTATTTATGAGTTAAATATTTCTTCATAAACCTTTAAAATGTAACGACAGTTTTATGCCCTACCTACCTGATTTATGTGGATTCTAGGATTTTTATCTGGAATTCACTTAAAAAGTGTATAACAGATCATGTGCAATTGAGTTTGTTCACAATTAATTCAATCAAGTCATTTTATTAACTTAATAAGAAACTGAGTCATCCGTACAACAACAACTTATCTATATCATTGTATCTTTATTACTATTGCGAATGTATGAACATGTATGCTTGAGCATTGCTTACTGCCTACACATTTATTCACGCTGCTAGCCTCACTACTAACCGCTTAATTGATTCAATGATTCATTCATTTCACTGTGTATATATACGTCCATTTTAATCATGTTCATTGCTCTCTCTCGTTTAATTGTACTCGCTTACTCGTACTCATAATCGCTGACTCACTCACTCGCTCACTTGCCTGGTTGCCTTTCGGCACAACTCTTCTATGTTCGTTTAACGTACCTGTAATTTTGGATATCTGTGTGTGTGGTCCCATAATAAACATAATCAACACTTCATATTGGCCTTCTGATTAATATACCGTTGGTGCGTTATCTAGTGACGGTTATCAAGACGAACTGTATACGAAGTTTAAGGATTATATCGAATATCGACCGCCACAAGTCCTTTACTTGTAAAATAAGTCGGAAACTGATTTTATCTAAGAATGTTGTAAATGACGTCTTGCATTAAACAGAATTTTGTAAATCTTAAATTGCTTCGAATATTTTATTTGAATTCATATCATATAATTGATGAAACATATGATCAGTGTTGAAAGCATTGCTTAGTTTAATAAATGTATTATACTATATCTCGAATAATGACTTATACTAAACAAATTATTAGACTCCATATTATTTGAACAGCCATTCTATGATAATAATTAAAGTTATTACTACTACAAAACGTTTTAAAAACTAAAATCACTTAGTATTGACATCATACAATTCAATGTAAATTACTTATTTATTTATTTGAACACATAAAGAATGGTACAGAGAGGCACCGATAACATACACGCCACACAATTCACTTGGTTTGTGTTAGGGCTGGGATACTGCCCGGGTGCCCAAACCAAAACAGCTGATTTTCGTATGGGGCCACATCCCGAGCCTGCGACCTAAAGGTCTGATTCGCAAGGGGATGCAATCTCATGGTAGCCGGTGACCAACGATTGGTTCATACACCATTTGTTCCCTCAGTATCCTGGAGCCAATGTACACCATTGGTTTAGAATCATGGTTTTCCGACTCTTTTAGATGGATACTCCATATCCATCAACCCGGTTAAAGCGCTGGACATTCGCTTTTCGTCCTCTTGATTTCGTAAACAAAACCTCCACCTCGAGAAAGCAATAAGTAGGATTTCCTTGACAGTGACTGTATACACGTGGCCATATGAGAGCATTTTGAGAGGGAGTGCTAAATCTCCCAAATCTCGGCCGTACTAGTTCATTTGAGAGCTCATGAAAATCTATTTGCATTATCCATAATAGATTAAAATAAGTCATCATATAGATCCAGTACACGGATACTGGCTAAATATAATTACTTTTTTAATACAAAAGTATACTCGTAATAATATAGAATAAAATTAGTAACTTTTTAAAAATTAAATTGTTAAGGAATTGATGATAAGTTCATAATGTAACAGTAACACTAATAATTAACTTTTTTTTTCTTTCAAATTTTATATAAATTAGGTTAAATATTTTCAACCAAGTGCACCAAATGAAACTGAAATTATCACAACAACACAAGAACCATTATTACAAATTGAAAATCTTAAAGAGAGTACATTCTATACTGTTTTAGTAAGAGCATTAACTAAAAATGGACCAGGACCATGGTCAGCAGCTAGTACAATTCGTACTACAGCTGAATGTAAATATTTCATTTTTATTTCCAATCTCATATTGATGTTTGAATATATATATATATATATATATATATATATATATATATATATATATATGTATGCCTGAATGGTAACACATTGGAAAACAAGAATAAATATTTATTTAAGCTGTTCAGTAGATAAACTATATCTGATTCCTACATTAATGTAAATAAATAACAGATAAACTAAGAATTCCAAGCCAAACGTATGATGATAGCTAGGAACTGTTGAAAAAGGTTTGATGTTTTTTTCTTTAATTGAGTGACGTATTTGTTAGTGGATAATGAAATTATGTTATTCCAAATGTTTAGGCTTATAAATTACTTCTATCATTTTATTAAAAAGTAGTTTCATATTAAACAGACACTGATTTTGTTTAGAATAGATGAAACTTGGTCGAATCATGATTATTTTAAAGAACTAAAAGAATCATTATCAATCGCTTAATCATATTAGTTGTCAAAACTATAAACAAGTACATTTTCCTTATTTTCGCACTTATTATTGAGGGCGTCTTCAGAAACACAATATCTGATGTAACTCTTAAGTGTGTATTACTTCTATGATGTGCATGAATAGCGGTGAAGACGAAATTAAAATTTCAAATGAAATTCTAATTTGTAAGTGATTTAGGATTATAGGGAATTAAGGTAACTAGATTATTTACAAATGATCAGAAACAACAACACAGCTACCACCAGTTAAACTCCAAAAATAAATCAAACTAGGTAGTGGTCTACATTAAAGATGAGGGTGAGGTTAGCACTCATTACAAAATGATATAAAGTCGAGTGTTTCTACTTTACTAAACAGCTAACATAACCTATTTCAATTAATAGTTTTTACGAATACTCTATGCAATTTTCTGAAAGCTTTATTGAGTGGTCTCAAAGTGTAGAACCAGCTCTCTGAGCTGCAGCAGTGATTCTCTGTCTATTTTTCTTAATCTATTTACTTAGTATCTTCTGAGTTAATTAACATTGTCATTTGAATTCAAACAAAAATATGCTTAATCTGTTGTTACTTTAAATAGTACCAGAACCTCCGTCACAAATTAATGGTCTACGTATAAATCCAAGACAAATAAAAGTTACATGGAATACAATGCCTGTTGGGCCTATCACGAAACCCCAAATACCAATAACTGGATTTCGTATATTTTATTCAACAAACGAAAATACACAGGATTTGAATACATGGCAAATTTTGGATGTTGGTCCGGTTACAATGGCAACACTTGACTTATTAGATCCACAAAAGGATTATGTTATAAGAATAAAATCAAGAGGAGCAGATAGGAGGCATGGAAGATTAAGTGAACCTATTCATGTTGGGATATACAATCCACATGAAATTAATGGAGCTAATAAGGATATTAATAACTTAGCCAATTCTGGACCGGAAGATTTAAAACGAATCAGTCATTTATCATGTACATGGGTTCAAACTTTAGAGACAGCTAAACCTGGTGAGGCAAGTCTTAAAATTTCGTGGAGACGTCCTCGTCAACTTGAAGGTCTTTACCAATTTGAAGTAAGTTACTTGAACAACACATAAGTAATTTGGTTTGACATATTTTGTGTAATGTTTTTAACTGATAGTGAGTTCCTGATAGAAGCAGCTATGATCAATTGTTGATAAGTTTGAAACATTTCTATCTTGAACATTTTAAATCGAAGGAAATATGATCTTACAGATGATAACCTAGATTTAATAAGACATTTGTAACTTTGTTTATGAAATTAACGAAATTCAAACTTATAAGTGAATAGCGCTAACACTATTTTCTACCTAATTACAGATTCAGCTACTTGGATCTAAAACATATGCTGATGAACGAAGTCATCCGCATCGAATTCTGTATGAACCACGTTCAGTGGAAGTTACAACGTCAATGCTAGATCAATCTTCTAGCTCCAGTATGAACACAAATGGTGGGTACATGTCATCTACCTCAGATTATCCTCAGTATGAATTAGTTATCGATGAACTGGAAGCGAATACGGTTTATGATGTACAAATTAAGCCTATTTATTCACAAAATGATCAAAGTGCGACTATAGACAGTGCAACTCCAACAGGACGTACGAGTTGTCGAACACAAATGCTTCGTAAGCGATGTTATTCATTATTCCTTGTGCTTTATCTAAGTATCAGAAGTATCTGACTATATCTACATAAAAGTGCTGTACACTGTATATACTTTTTATTGATGATAAAACTATAAGAGTGGCCTTTTTGAATAAATTGGCTACCTGTTCCTACAATCTAGATATTTCAAAAAGTTCTCTGTTTCCTTGTTTGTTTTAACACGTCATTGTGTCAATTAATTGCATAACCTATTCAAGTGTGTTTTTGAAAATTTTACTATCTTTCGCTGTACAAGTCACAGAAATTTACAATCGGAAAAATCGTGATGGTTGGCAATGTGCATTGAAAAGAATGGATATTATTCAGATGTCGACTTCTGAACTGCTAACATCTAACTGACGATCACTCAATATTTATCATCAGGATCGATCAAGAAATAAGAATCGGAAACTCGCTGTGCTGAGAATTCTATATTGTGCCAAAAATCTAATATTGAATAAAGCCAATAATAATAATGTACATCAAAATGAGGGAAGCTTTAAATAGTAATCACCAGAAGACTTGGAATCTAGTTCTCATACTAGTTGGTATTATTCAACAGTATTGAAGAGAATAATGCTTTTTGTTTTGTTCGAACGGCTATTACTCAGTTTCATAGTCTGAAATATTACCTCAAAGCTGTTATCCGGACTGCTCCTGGCTTCCTGCAAGAAAGATGAATTTAAGCCACGTGTTTGATTTTAGTTAAAAGATATTTCATAGATTTGTCTGACTGGAAACAACGGCATATTGTTTATTCAATACAAACGAGTAGTTGAGTGCTTTCATCATACTCAGATGATACTATTTGATAAGATTATTGGTTAGCTTAAAATAAACAAAGTCATGTTCATTGAGTTACAAAGTTACAGTTATTAAGTCTGGAATAAAAAAGTTACATGTTTAAACATACAATGTACATAGATTATCATGATTGATTGAGTTGATATAAGCATATATTTAAAACTCCTAAATACTTCGAAGTTTATATCTGTAATTAAAACTAGTGTAAGAAGTATCAAGAATTCCGAATTCATTCATACTCGAATTTTTACCTAAAAAGAAACATTTGACAAACACACTAGAGTACATGCCTTCATTTCATAGTTACCTTTGTTATGAAATCATTCGAACATACAATATTACAGTAACAAATGATACTAGAAGATGATTTCGGTATCACTGAAAATAAACAATCTAATAAAATGGTTAAATACAGTATATTCACTGCATAATGATCTTTTGATTTATTTCAATCTCTAGACCACTTTAAAATAAATTTTGTAATATTTGTTTTCATTTATTTTTTTTTGTCTGTGTGAATATTTAGCTCCACTTTTAGTTCCTCGACCGATACCAGTTACAGTACAACCAGAGACAGGAAAAGTAACTATGCGAGTATTTCGTGTCTCTGAAAGTCTTGGTCGTATAAGAAGATATTATTTGATTTTATGTAAAGTTCTTACAACAGATTCTTTAAATTTAACTCCGAAATCAAAAGAGTTTAATTGGCCACAAAAAGTTAGTTGTACCAAAAAACAATTTCAATTTGGTGCTATTTTGGGGATAATAAAAATTATTTTTTTTTATGGTTTTTCATTTGATCTAGTTACATAGTCTGAGTAAAAACCTAGAACGATCTGTTTTCACTTGATTGGAGAATTATCTTCAAGTACTTAAATGATCATTATTCCAAACAGAAATCAAATTCCAATTATCTTATGAAGAGATTGTACTATATATTATTGTATTATCTGTTAGTATGATAGGAATCTGTTTTTCTATAAAAAGAAGCTTTGAAAAGGAGTATAAAAGTAACTGAATATAATCGAATCATTAATTAAACAGAACTAAATCAATTGTTATATGGAACATATATCTGGTACGAAAATTGATACATTAACTGATAAAGTGTTTGCAATTACAATAAGACTAACATAGGAAAGCGTAAAATTTCCACTTGTAATAAACCGATAAGCTTGACTATTCTTTACTATAGAATTTGATTATGATTTTAAAATTTCAGAACCAGAATATTTCAACGAGAATATTTTTGAAGCCTCAACATATATATACAAGGTTCAAGTACTAAGTATTGACCGATGAACTTGACTTAAACATGAATCATTGAATTCATACTTTGTGATTTAAAATTTTATCTCAATATGACAATTAAATGCTTTGCATTTAATTCAATACTCATTATCCCATACACAGAATTAAATAGTTAACCGGTATTTTTGATTTTTTAAGTAAATTCATCAGCTAAATTTTTCATTCTAATTAAATGAAATAAATAAAAATAACTAATAAGTAAAAGCTAAATATTCCGCCTGAAGCTCCTCTGAAACTACTACCGGTCCCAAGCACATGGGTAAAAGTGGACGGTTGGGCATGGGATTAGTAAACCCCATTCCGTAGAAAACTAACTCGCTAAATAAAATTGCTAACCAGAAAAAAATAATTCCAAATAAGTACAAGTGTAAAATATTATTAATCATTCAGTAAACCAACATTTTTACGCAAAAATACACTTTACAAGCTTCATGAATGTTTTTTTCATTATACAAAACAATAATCTTTTTTTGTTTTACTAAGGAAACTAATTACTTTTCTAGAAAAATCTGATTTGTCCAAAATATTTTCTTGTAAAATAAAATCAATATCAAATGAAACCTGAATAGATATCTGTTGGTTACTTTATATCAAAATTTGATTACGTCATTCATATTACTTTTATTTATTATAATAAATATTGTAATAATTATTGTGACATTTATTTTGTTTATATGATGTTATTCGTGATGCACTTTAATTTAAACAATAAACATGAATTCACATGGTATTATTTATTTGGATCTTTTCATTGGTGTTTAGGATTGAAATTGATCAGTCTCTTATAGACATATGGTGTATCCTGTGTGAATTACCGTGATATGGCTTTAAGGCTGTATATATGTCAATAAAAGACTGATCAAGTGTCATTCTAAACATCAGTGGGAAGATTCAAGTAAACAATGACAAGTGAATTTGAACTTCACCCCATTGGACAATCAAGTGGCTATCAGGATTTAGTAGCTAAGTGGATAACGCGATGGCGTTTGAAGCGGACGGTACTGGGTTCGAGTCTCGAAGTGGACATCAAATCTAGGATGTAGATACACCGAGGTGATAAGTCTCAGATGGGACGAAACGCAGGTCCTGTGTTCCACTGCTAGCCAGCATTCATCTTTGCTAATTAACATTGATTTAGAAATAAGCAGTTTTTATGGTCTATGTTAATTCCACTTTTCATTTAAAATTTCATTAATAGGCATGATGAAGGATGAGGAAAGAGTATACAAATAAATAAATATCATAACTGAAATACCTACACACAGTAAAACCTTAGATGAATCATTTTGTTCTAAATAAAGTTTGGTCTAATTAGAATCTAGAATAACATGATTCACGTTTTAAAAAATATTGTTTCATTATTGAATAAATTCATAAAACTACATGTAATCTTTAATTCAACCATCAGTCATTTAAAGATGAGTTTGTCCACTGAACACTTTCAGTGAGAAATAGCTTAGTTGTTACTTACAGAAAAATTAGTGAGTAGATAATTCAAAGTGTTCACTTGGGGGCTTACGACTAGAAATCCGTTTATCTGACTAAAATACAAACAATTTTTCAACTTAAATCCTTAATCCTTTTCTAACTAATATGACCACACACGGATGCTAATCAGTTGAATCTAATAAAAATATAGATAATACGTTTTTGGTAATTAGAAACAAATATTATCTTTTTACCTTCTAGAACATATCATAAAATAAACCAGTAGTATAAATATTGTGCTTGTTTTTATCAAACGGAATTTACTAAACTCTTTGGCAGAAAAGAAAGATAGACATAATATCAAAGAAAGTCATTAAACAAGGAAACTTCTGAAAGTAATGTACTCTTCACTGAAAACGTAAATTATTTAGTTTCTTTATGTTTTTCATTCTTCTCAAACAATTTAGAGCATATTAAATATGTGATATTCGATCAATCAGTAAAGAACAAAGAAGCTCTTCTTTTTCAGTGTTTTGAAAATAAGCGTCCATCTATATACTATACTGAATTATAAAGTAACAAGACGGTTAATATCATTAAATGAACTCCTTTGGGTAACAATAAAAAGTCATCCATTAGTGGATGACTACTCATTGGTATATTATGGAACTTCTTAATAGTGCAAACCCATTATAGCTTATGAGATTAAACCCAGAAACTTACAGGCAAACTGAGTTCATTTCACGTCTAGATTATTTGGTTTATATTTTTAGTTTCATTCAATTCATGCTACGAAGCGACGAATATTATCCACTACTATGGGTAATATTTATTTCCCGTTTAATATAAGAATAATGAAAATTTCAATGATGAGATGATGAATCAGTTGAAGCTAGACCACCATGGAAAATCTGAAAGCACTGGACGGCCGTTCCGTTCTATTGTGGAACTCCTCAGCAGTGCGCATCCACGATACCGCCCACCACCAGATTCGAACCCATGACCTAACAGTCTCGCGCGCTAACACTTAACCCCTAGACCACTGAGCCGGTCGGCATCCAATGGTGTTAATGTCTAACGTCAACTAATCCACGAAATTGAGTGACACATCCACCATTGTCATCACTTAGTTACTATCTCACAACAGACCTGGTTGAACTCCACTGTTCACTGCTTCTCACTAGAACTTCAGGATATACCTCTTGAAGCCAGTCAATAGTGAGCATATGTTGATTAATATCAGACGGTGTTTCATGTTGGTCTAACTTCAAGTGACTTAAGATCTCAACCATTGAAATTACTATACTATCCAGAAACCCCTTTCTAATAATATTGAAAATGTTCGATAATTTCATGTAACTTTTATGTAAATGGAATCAGTCATTCACCTCATATCTAGTGAAATCTGGTATCTTAGTGTATGAACTGGATCTAAGGTGATAAGTGGTTTCATCCTGAGTTTCACAAATGAATATCGAAAACAAAAAGGATAAAAGGTATTTATTAGCTTAATCTTCATTTATATTAGAGAAAAAAAGTTACTTTCATTATATAAATTTGAATTTTTCTCACCTCACCAATCACCATACACAATTTACAAGCCTTTAAATTAGTTTCCAGTATGATCTTAACTACATATGGATATTCTGTTCTTTTTTTTTTAACAGACATTTTACACATTTAAATATTCACACAAGTTTTAACTAATTTTTATTGAATTCTTTTATTTATTTAAGCTTCATGATGCATCACAATCTTGGAATCCAAATATATTTATTGCAGCTGAATATAGTCAAGAGGCATTTGTTGGATCATATGTTGAAATTATATTAAATATGCCAACAACAGAAATAAAGAAACGATTTAAAAGAAAAACTTTTAATAAGTCAAATGGTGTTACTAATCAAACTCATCAAATACAAAATGATAAATTAATACATTCAGAGAAACTGAATACTAATTCATTACCTGAAATTTTAGTTTATGGTAGGCAACTAATAAGAAATCAGAAATATAAAGTGAGTTTATTATTATTATTATTTGAATTGTTGGTTCATATTATGATAAATTATAATCTTTATAAAATATTATATTAGAATCACTTGGTGTTGTTTTACTTGTATCTTTCCATTGTTATTTAAAATTGCAATTGATCAATCTCATGTTGGTATATGTGCATCCTGTGCGGATGCCTTGATATAGCCTTAAGTCACAAGCTTTTTAAGCAAAAATGGATAGTGGTTAGCAGTAAAATCCAGGACGCGCGTTTTGTCCTATTAGAAGTTTAACAGAACCATATACAAACATAAATTATATGTTATCAATATTCACTTAAGAGAAGCGAAAATTCTCAGTTTTCTATTTGTCTAGAGCATAATAATTATTTCAATATCGATTAAAGTAGATGAAAGTCTAACGATTTTGCAAACTATTAATAAATCAATGTTTACGTCTATAATTTTAAGATAAATCTCTGGAAGACCTTTAGTCACTAACGGTAAGTAATTTTATTTGTGAAGTCAGGAAAATAAATGACTACTAAAAGAACTGTAAAGATGTTCCAGTTCACTGATTTGAGAATTCCCTAAATTCATTGACCATACGTCTTAGATAGTTTACTTTGATAAACCTGAAGTATGTTGTCGAACGACCTTAAGGTATTGAGTTGTTTTAATCAATGAGAAAATAGTATGTATGAGTGAATAATTTCTAACCAAAGACAAAATGATTTATTAACAATATATTAATTCTAATTGATTAAGAAACTATTTTAACTGTAAGTTCTTTGGCGTTAGACTTTAGTATGAGCCTTAAGATTTAAAGTTAGGATTCAATTTATATATGCCATAGATCCTAGACGTACCATCTTGATTCTAACATCTTAAACCTAAAAGTTAAACATCATGAACATAGCATGCCTACCCTAAACTGAATCCTGCCCCTAATACTAACCCTAACAAAAATTGCGGTTAAAAATCATGTTGATTTAAATAATCCAGAAGCATATATAAAAGTTTAATTCCCGCTTCTGCAACTGTCTTTTCAGCCATTTAAAGCATTCTAACAGACAAGGTGATTGAAACAGTCATTAGTCAACAAGTTAGTTTGATGTTTGCAAGATGATGTTGAAGTCGCCTTATCGACCATGACTGATTATGCAGTAAACTTTAGGTTAGACGTAGTTTCTTATTGATACTTTCAGTTAAAAACCTTTGACATATTTTCTAACATTCACACTTAGCATTAGTTTTAACTCGTACAAAAATTTCAATAGTTTGTAAGCTTTTTAATTCCTGAGCGGACTAATTCACAGTAGCTTCTTAATACAATTAAATAAATTAGAGAATTATTACTTCATTAGGTAATAAAATTTTGAACGTTACGCATATACAAAATCATATGATACAACTGGATTTGTATACTGAAATTTATTGTTAAACAAAATTGGAATGCTAAGTGTTTGAGTAATTCGTATCAAAATCAATATCCATAGTTTTAGATAACCCAATGATACTGACAAATGTATATAAAAGGATTCTCAAAGAGAAAATATATTTGACTGAAATCATGAATCGATCGATATTAAACCCTCATTGAAAATCTGGAATCACTGAATGGCCGTTTTGTTCTAGTATTGGATATATTTAATGAATTTTTCATGGTATATCTGAAACTAAAAATACACAAATTATCAACCATAGAGTAAATACGTTCTTTGTTTTATATCTTTAAAATGGGAACAGAAAAATGTTAAATTTGATCAGTGATTTGAATAGCTAGTCTTCCTAAAGCATATAAAGTAAATACTAGTAGGATAATTCAAAGTGAATAATTGCTATTATCGTCATGATTATTTGAAACTTGGCATGATTTTACTTTGACTATTCTGTATGATATTGCATAGATCTTTAACAAGTGAATTTATAGTTCCTGGCAATAAACTGTAATCACTATCTAATTTTTGATAAGATGATTTCGGCTGCTCTTTCTTCAATGAAATTTTCTTCAATTATTTAACATTTTACTCATCTTACTGAATTGTGCATACTCAAATAGACGGATGTATAACTTTAATTAAAATTAAAATACTGTCATAAGTTTTGAAAAGTTGAAATCCCTTTTCCTTTTATAATCTGTTTCCTCGATAATTGGTTTATTGCTTATCATAATTTAAATAAAGAAAACATATACTTTTACAGTTTTCATTCGTCAGTCATCAATTAATCAAATTTTCACTTTGATTTTATCATCATTCAAATAGAAAGCTTTAAGATATTTTTGGAAAAGTAGTCCCAAAGTTTTGGTAAAAAGACAAGTTAAATGAGAAAAAGATCATCGAGTTTGAGTAAATGTAATTGAAAATATGAAACGATGGACTCCTGTTTAATTAACTTTCAAAATCTTGCTCTTCATAGTATTTTAAGATCCAGGTCGACAATATTAACAAGATGCCTAATGTTCATTACTAACAATGAACAAGATATAAATAAATAACTGTTCGGTACTGATGAATCTTAAGACAACCTGAGCTCATGGCAAGCTTCCAGTTTAACAAAGAAATCATATTTTCAAAATGTTTATTTTGAAATACTGAAATGATTTTCATATGAAAACAAATTTCTAAAAATCATCTTCACAATAAACGACTTTTTTTCAGTATATGGTTGTGAAGATTGTTGAGTTTTAATTAACATCATGAATCGATCAATATTAGACCACCCAGGACCTCCAGTCTCGAGTTAGCACCTAACCTTTAGACCACTAAGCGAGCTTCCAACGTTGATAATGTCTGACTTCAACCATTCCACTACATTGTGCAACCACATTTTATTGTTTTTGGTATGTAGCTACCTCCAAACTGACACGGTTGAACTCCACTGTTCCAGGAACATAGTCGCACAGTGACGCGGATTGTTGGAAAATAGACATTACCACCGTTAGATGCGGGCTAAGTAGCCTATACGTTAAGCGTTCGCACGATACATTGGCTGAGAGGTCCCATACTAGGACGGAAAGGCCATCCGTTGTTTCCAGGTTTTTAATGGTAGTCAAACATTGCTCGGTTGGTGATCACAATGAAGACTTTTATTTTACGGATGAAATAATAAATTCGGTCTTTTGACTGAATATTTATTATTAAAAGTTTACACGTACAGTTGGTAATATATTGAATGTATAGTACAGTTAGTGTAGAAACATTTAGAAAAGATTAGCAAATAAATTAGACCAAAAGATAAAAAAGAAGAATTTAACACTATAATTAGGTAGAAATATTACTTCAAACTGAGTCAAGACTAACATATCTACTAGCTTAGTGCAGAATGGGAATAATAAATTTACATTGGTTGATCTCTTAGAGTGATGAACCTCAAGTCTCAGGCACTCTACAACTTTTCTACAGTTACTCATTCTGAAGAGTAGACATTTATGGACGTACTTTATTGGGTAGCTGTAAAACCAAAAACGATAAACTGACCGTGTATTTTTAAGACCTTTAATGTCTTTTAAATTGGAAATAATGTATTGCGAAACTCAATATAAAACCTGAAAGCCTCCAGCTAGTTTGTTATAATGTCATATACCTTGTTACATTCAATAAATTCGTATCTGTTAGACGTATGTGCTATGGGATATTAGGTGTTTACTTATTCTTAACAGTTATTTTCTTTCCTCAAATAGAGAGGATAAGTTGGTGAGTAGGATTTTGTTTTTAGCTTCTTATATTTGTAACACCAAAAGTATCAGCGGTTGATTAGATTCATACTATCGTTCTCAAGAATTGGAAACAGTTTGTTAAATAATATGAAATTGATATTTCAAGCAATAGGTCTTTCAACGGGTAACTTGAAGGTCGTTGTTTAAATTCCTCTTTATACTAAAGGTTTTCATGTTTTCCAATATCATTCTAGTATGATTGTCTAAATATCATTGGTTATTCAAAATATATTAATATGCTATCTTGTTTTAGAAAATAAACTTGAACTTAAATCCTTTTTATTGATTGCTTCAAAGTTCGCGTCGGTATGCAAGACTGAAATTGATATGTTTCTTTTAGAATATATGCATCCCATGTGAACTACCTCTATACTGAAATGAAGTCACAAGTAGAGTTAGGTGGTAGCTAGTAGTAGTATCCGGAATATATTTTGTCTTTTATGGGACTTGTTAAACAGATGTACACATATCTCGGAGTTGATGTCTACTCTGGGGATCGAATTCAGAATGAACAGACACTCTGGGATACAGGTCCATTCAGAAATCCGGTCACATACTATTAACAACCATCCATATCTGCTTATAAAATCTGAATTTACTTTAAAATATGTTTAAATAAAAGTCACATACTATTAACAACCATCCATATCTGCTTATAAAATCTGAATTTACTTTAAAATATGTTTAAATAAAACACATACTTATCAATTCTTAAGTTCATAATTCAATTATTAGATTTTACACTGAATATCTTATCTGTTTTATTCAATAAAAATGTCAACCTTATTTCACTTCATGCCTTTATTTAATCCATATTACTTATAAAGTTGAATTCGAAATAGTGTTAGGAACATTTTTGAAACAGTTAACCTTAAACTCCCTTTTATTTGGGATCAATAAACTTATAGGTTTACCTGAATCTCTTCTTTCTATGTTCATAGTTGTTTATATTTGATAAGGAAATTAAATGATATAATCTTATTCATCCTGTCTTGAGATATGAAATTACTGATATAAGTAATAAGTAGAATAATATAATATGCTTGAAAATAATGCGATATAATGAAAGCTAATCCTGTTGAATATTTTTTTAAATAATACTTTTATATAAGATAGTTATCTTTCTTAAAAGCTGAATTGTCCAATATTATCCTAACGTTGTTTTTTTCTCTTTAATGAATGATTATTGTTGAATTTACCGACTTTCTACCTACAGATTATAATTGTTCCATACCAATAACTTGATCATGGAATAGATTAAACTGAGTGTTTATTTAATGTAAATGTCAGTCAATTAAGTATGATTTTATTGAATATAGTCTAGTTTAGCCGAACAAATTAGTTTATCTGATGTAATTAGCTCTTCTAGGTAAATATCTATAAAAGAATAAGGAAAGTATTAAAATATAAAATAAAGTTATTTGGTTTTTGTCCTTTAACTATTCTACTGATAGATTAATTTTCATCAATAAAACATCTTTAAGAAAAATGGGATTTTGTATACTATACGCATAAAGTTATTTAGTTTACTGGTTAATCATGATCACTTTCAGAAGTATACAAGTTTAATTTATGGAATAATGGGGTGTGTATGAAAGAGAGAGAGAGAGAGAGAGAAGGATCATGACCCAATTGAATGCTAAGAATATTTGAAAAGAGTTATGACTACAATGAACAAAATAGTACAATTGACACTGATTTCCGGAAAAAATACTAAGAATGTAACCATAATATTTAGGATATTCATAACAAGAATAATAATTCACTTGGTATTGTTTGGCTTGTATCTTCCCATTGAGGTTTAAGACTGATCAGTGGATAACGCGATGGCGTTTGAAGTGAATGGTACTAGGTTCGATTCCCAGAGTGAACATCAACTCTGAGATGCAGGTACATCCAGCTGACGAGTCCCAAATAGGACGAAATGCGTGTCATGGATTCCACTTCTAGCCACTATCCATCTTTACTTACAATAATAATAATGTCTGAAAAAGGTATGAGCAAATAAAACTACTATGACTGGTAAATTCATAAATAATGCAACAACTTCAAATAATATTATGATAATAAAACTATTTATAACGTAAACTCGACTAATATTAACAGTTATGTTGATAAGATTAAATGAAAATTCATAGAATCCTTGTGATCATCACATTTTCAAAAGTACTTTTGAACTTAATTGTTTGTTTATTGTTTTTTTTTTATTATCAAATATCAACATTGATCATGTATTCTTTCTTGTTGATAATAAATTCTATTTTATTTCATTATTTAATCGTTTCCAAACATTCAAATTCACTATTATTTCATTTTTTCTTTGGATCAATTTCTGTTAAAATATCTTGACAGTAAACAAGCTTTTTTGTTAGTGACAGTTTAACATATTGCTATATACTATATTTAAATTTCCATACATTTTGTGAAATTACCCATAGGCGTAAACATAGTATTACTCTATTCAACGGCGAGACTGTCATTTATGAACGAACCAATCAGATTTAGGATAACAGTTTTATGCCCAAATTCACTCATCCATTTGGCTAAATAGAGTTTTGACATCATAGCTGATGTCAGCTCGTGATAAAAACCCTAAATGTAATGCCTAACCTTAACCATAAACTGTAAAGCATAATTATAATTCATCACACAAGTTTATAACCCCCATTTAGTTCTAGTTATTCAATGGGCAATCTCAGGGTCAGTTTAGCGTCGCTCAAAGGTCATCCATAAATTATAGTCTCACCTCACTAATAATACTCATTTTATCACTGTGTTAATAACAAATTAATCTGATTAATAAAATAAAACCTGGTTCTGAAAAGAAAAGAAATCAATTCATATAACAAAATACAATCTAACCGAAATTAAAATCTAAACAATAGTGTAAGATAAATAATTAACATTTATTTAATAGTTGAATTCATGGGTCAATTGAAGCTAAACCACCATTGAAAACCTGGGAGCACTGAATGGCTGTTTCGTCCTAGTATAGGACTCCTCAGCAATGTGATCCCGCTTCGCGAGATTCGAACATTTATTTATTTTAACTTTCGGAATTAAAATAGACTAAACATAAACTATTGAACGCTTTTTTTTCAATATTATCACTTGTTCAATAAATAAATATGAAAGGATTAACTACCATTGCCATTATATGCTTGTTTAAAAGACTATGCCAGGGGTTTTAATAGATTATATTAACAGTTTATCCTAGTTTTGTTTATTTATAAAACTATAACTATTACTATAAAAGAGTATAAACTTGTGCAAAAATAATGAATAATTTTCTATTTATTATTATGTAAACAATTTTTTTTTTGTTTAGAGTCAAGTGTGTATAAAATAGAAGTTCTATTCTACCATTATTCTATCACAACAACTCAAGAATAAGTATAACATTGAACAATCAAAATGTTTACAAAACAAAATCTCATTAAAAGAATATACTTGAAAGAAACTAAAAAGATTGAATAGAATAAATACAGTAAATGAAAACATTATCTATATAGATATGCATATACTATTTAGAGTTGTGATTAACCTAACTAAAGAACCATTGAATATTTAAAGAAGATAAATAAACTTAAAACCAATATCTTAGTGTTTATTAGTAAAAGAAAAAAAGTATATATCATCATAAATAGAATGACTGAGAGACCGAAGTAATTCAATTTAAAAGAGAATGAATGACAAACATTTCAAATAGGTTGGAACTTATTTTACACAAATATCTCTCAAGAATAAGTGTATGCTGTTATTGACAATGAAGGTCTTCGTCTTAGCGTTTTTCTGAATTTCATACTTCATATAATATACGAAAGAAACATCTCAGTATTCACAGACACATACAATGGAAAGTGTTCGTAATCTGAATAAAGATCGATATACCAGTTTATAAAATTCACTATAATCATGTATACCAAAGTTTTCTGTTTTAAAAGCCTAACTAATGTGCTTCTATTAAATTGCTTATAAACATAACATAATTTAAAATTAGATATAATTCATTGTTCTCTATTTCTTACTTTTTCTATAATTCAGGCATTTGTTTTAGCTTGCATTTATCCAAATATGCCACCATTTGGTGGCAATACAAATACAATTTCAACAGGTTCTACTACATCATTAGATTCTTATCTATATAATCGTGAACAATCAGTAGAAGATGAAGAGAATCTTTCTAAAGAACTATGTACACCAAGTTTATGGTCAATACATTTTCAACCAGATCAAGCGATCACATATACAGATCAACAAATTGGTGATATGCATGCTAGTGAATCAATTATAAAAGAGAATAGTGAGACAAGTGCAATGAAAATATCCAATACAAATTCTAAAAGTGAATTCTTTCCTAAATTTGCTAATAGTGCAGATATTTTTACTATAACATTAATTATAATCATTGCAACTCTTAGTATAATTGCTACAATATGTACTGCTATTGGATGTTTAATGAGGTAAGTAAACTTCTCTATCTTGTTCTTTCATTTATCTTAACTGTAAAAATATCAACATATAAATAAGAGAGAGACTATAGATGTACATTATAGAAAAATCATAAATAATGACGGAACAAATGTTTACCACTCACTGGTTTTGATAGGAAACTTTCTCTACAACCAAATAAAATGTATTACTGATTGTCATCTTTTGTAAAAAATAATAATAAATTATAGATAAGATTATAACTTATGGATGATTTAATGAAATTAAGGTTAATAAGTCTTGGATTTGGGCATGAAATTCATTCATTCATTCATTCATATAGTTAAATATCATTTTTGTGATTATGGCTGATGTCAGTTCGTAATGAAAACCTTTCATTCACAACCATAAATTCTAAGTCTAAATCCTAATTTTTCATATTAATTTGTAGCTCTCCTTTAATACCAGTGAGTAGAATAATTGTCTCAATGTCACTTTAGCGTCGCTTAAAGATCGTCAATAAATCATAATCCTACCGAATTATAAAAATGATACTTGACCAATAATGAATTATAAGATGAATTACATTTTAGTCAAGTTAACAGAACAACTGAACAGGATGAAATCGAGATTAAACGTTGAAAATATGAATAATTTTGAAATGGACAACGGAATCATAACAAGTTGTATACATAAAATATTAGTTACAATTCTGTAACTAGTTAAATAACGCGATGGCGTTTAAAACGAACGGCTCTGAGTTCGAGTCCCGGCGTGAACGTCAACTCTGAGATGCGGATGCATCCAGCTGACGAGTTCTAAATAGGACGAAACGCGCGTCCTGGATCCTACTGCTAGCTACTTTGTAATTGCAGATATACTAATAATGATGTCTTGTCATATGTTTTGAAAGACATAAAGAAATAACTGCCTAAAATTGAGTTATATGATCTTGTGGTACTGAAAAACTATTTTAGTTTCTCTTTCGAAAGAATTTGATCAGGTTTAAACAAATTGATCATTTTTTATGTCAGTAAGAATATATCATTACCAGTCTACAGTAATGTATACACAATATGATAAAACGTTGTATCACGCAACGTTCAATTACATTAAAGTTTATTTCTGATTATCGTATTTAAGAAATTCCTTACTAGATGACTACTAGTGTTGAAAATTTTTCAGGGGGTTGATGAAACTTTTCTATTTTTCTCGTCCAAGTATATTCAACCATGTGTATAATAGTTAAGTCTAGGCTGATTACAAACGATTAGACTGGCTTTGATGTCTAAAATACGACATGAATTTTTCTAAGAATTATAAAACTCTCAATGATAAATCTTCGTATGTACGAACATTAGCCTCCGAACACCTTTTTTACCACTAATAGTTATGCAGGTAGTAAAAATTAGTAAATATGATCTATTGGCAAATTTTAGTTGACACTAAGCCATATTATATAACGTGTTTACTTATTCATTGAGAAATTGCAAGTGCCGATGAGTTTACAGTTTATTAGTATTCGAAGTGTGTTGAAGGAAACTTGATCAACTACCAAAGTTATGGAACCTGATTTTTCATCCTTGAACGACTAGTTTTGATATAATTTAAATTATTATGAAAATGCGTATAGCGTTCATATTATTTTACATTATATGTCTATAACACTGAATATTAATTATCTATTTCTTATAACCAAAGAAGTACTATTCATTTGGCGTAAACACGGTTTATTTACTTATGATTTAATTGTACAGAAGACGTCGAACTAAACCCATAGATAATGATATGTCAATCACCTTAACACCATCAGATGGAATGTTAAAAACTCCATTAATGCCTCAATCAGTTCAGAATTTTTCAGGTACCAACGGAGCTATTGAACATGAACCAACGGATCCGGATACACCAGGTGAGAAATTCTTTTTAATTACATTTACTAACCACAATTATTTGAAATGTATATTCATATGCTTATTTTATTGAAAAGAGCAAGAACAAAGATTCTAGCAGGATAGCATGGATTCATTTTATTTCGTAGGTTCTCGTCAGCTTCTTACAATCTGTGAGATTTAAAATCATAATAACATAATGGGTTTAAATTAGATGAGAGGTTAGGTTGGAAGTTATATTAAAGATATATTCGTATATTATAGCAAGGGTGTAAATAAGATTAATAGACTGAATACTGTAAATATATATATCTTATGTAAAAGAACATTCCACAACATTGATTGTGACAACAGTTCAAACGGATAGAATCAAGTGATTACATTATGAGTAAGCATTGATAGGAATATAGTGATTAGGGCTCAGTTGATAAAATAAGATTATTAATTTGGAAGATAGTTGTAATCAAACTCTATGATGTAATAAATGCAGGAAAGAGTTTAAAGAAAAAGGAAAAAAAATTTTCTTACTTACTTACTCATTTACTTACATACTTGCCCCTAATGGAACATAAGCCATCGACCAGCATTATCCAACCCACTCTGTCATGGGCCCTCCTTTCTAGTTCTATTCATTTGTTGCTCATTTTCTTCACATCTGTCTCGAATTTCTGGGTGTAATATGTTCTTTGGTCTTCCTCTTTTGCTTCGGCCTTGAGGATTCCAAGTAAGAGCTTGCCTTGCGACGCAGTTCGGTGCTTTCCTCAATGTGTGTCCTATCCACTTTCAGTGCTTCTACCTGATTTCTTGCTCCACTTGAATCTGGTTTATTCTCTCTCACAGTAGGTTGTTGCTGATAGTGTCTGGCCAACGGATCTTGACTTTTATAATATTTATTATTTCTGAATTCTTTCAATATATTTCACTCATATTTATTTGTTTCTAATTAAAAATGCTGTAAACAATACACAGAGAATAAACGAATATAAACATCTTATGAGTTTGTGAATGTGTTTTACAACAGTAAGAAGTATGTTGAAGAAACAATAGTAGCTTTTGTTAGCTGCTTACAATTTTAATCCAATGAAAAAGAATTCTTAATTTCATCATGATGAAATTAAATTGTATTCATTCTTTAACCTCAATCATTAATTTTAGGGCAAAATAATCTGTTCACATTTTCAGTTATATGTACGGATAAAATAGATATCTTAATTTAATGTTTACAACACATAAATCATTTAAAAGATGTATGGGTCAGGATGTTGAAAAATTTATGTACTCAGAAACATTTTACTATGAAAGTTATTTTCGATTCATTTTTGTATTGGTTGTTTGAATCTTCCCAGTGATGTTTAGGACTGAAATCGATCAATTTCTAATTGATATATGAGTATCCTGTGTGAATTACCTCGATATTGCTTTAAGGGTTCACATATGTCAATATGATAGTGATCAAACGTTACCCTGAACATCAATGAGAAGATTCAAACAAACATTACAAAAATAAATTAACACTTCATCCTATTGGACAAGTTAGTGGCTATCACGACCCAATAGCTAGGTGAGTAACGTGATGGTGTTTGAAGCAAATGGTACTGAGTTCGAGTCCTGGGGGGAACATCAATTCTAGGATGCAAGTACACCAAGGTAATGAGTCCTAAATAGTATGAAACACGCGTCCCGGATTCCACGACTAACCACTATCCATATTTCCTTATAAATATATTATCATTTCAAATGATATACGATAGTCAAAATTTAGCTTCATATTGTTCTTAAACCCATCCTACAATAATGACATTTAGCAATAAATCAAGAAGTTATCGGAAAACACTAGTTTAATAATGAGTTTTGCTGAATTTCACTTTAATCAAATTACCTGTGGTAGCAAGTTGTTTTCTACATTTACCGTGTTGAATAATAATAAATTTTATAAAAAGAAAAACATTTTTGTCAAAGTGATTTATTTGAAGTATATCTTATTCGGTATATTTACTTCTTTAACTGAATGACTTGTTAGTCACTTCATTTTATGCACATTTGAAGTTTTAGTCTAAATAACTAAGTTTGAACTATTCATTTTATTCAAAAGTAATTTTTGTCATTTTTTAAAATAAAAATAGTTCGATTTTATCAGGGTTAAGGATTCCTAAATGATTCTTTCAATGATACTATTAGATTTATCTTGAATATGTATACATTTAACGAAGCAAGAGAATTAGTTTCCATGATCATAGACAGTTCAGTTCATTAATTGTGAATAACATGAATAACGGTGAATAACATTCAACATAAGAATTTTCTTCTAATTTATCAAAAGATATATTAGTTTTGAGCTGTAATGGATCTTTGATTAATACAGCTGGATAGTATTAAATCTAATGGTAATTAGAAGTTTTCCGTTTGATTTTTTACTTTTTCTTTAATAATACTGTTGTACACATAACAGAAATATTGTGTTGTGTGTTACTTATATCGACATAAGTAGTATATAACGCTAATCAGGAATAGAATGCCTGGCGGCAGAAGAGTGAAAAGATCGAGGAGGGAAGAAAGGGGACAGAAAGCAATTGGTATGAAAATGCAGGAACCATGAAGTCTGAGACAACTGATGAGGATTTTGCAAATGAAGGATTGGAATATGGTTTTTCTATTTTACCAAAACATGGCACAAATCCATCAAGTCACTGACAAGTGAACTGAGCCATGTTGGTAGGTGTAGACTACTTGGTTGGGATTCGCGAGACGATAGCAACCGATGGTCAGATACCTTGAATGGCATGGCTTAAAATCGTTTGCAATGGTACAGGTGCATTCACTCTTTGTGTTCTCTCAAATTCTAATCTTCTGAATTCTTCATGTCCATTTTTTCCTCTTTCCAAATTTATTTCACTGGATTATACTCCTTGAATAACATCTTCTAGGTAATCATTCAATTCATTTTAGCGTTTAAGATTGTATTGGACTCGATAAACACCATATTAATACACTTTTATCGGAGTTTCTCTTAATCTCAATGATTATTATAGCAAATCTCATTAAAATCATCGAAGTTTATTTAAATTTGTTTTAAAGAAAAATATCATAAACAGTTGTTCGGCTAAAACGTAACGAATATCTAGGGATATCTTCCATGGGATCAGGCTACCACAATCTTACAATACAAAAATATTTTTAAACTAATCTATGGAGAAATCAGGGTTATGCTATCTCTCTCTCTCTCTCTCTATATATATATATATATATATATATATATATGTTTGAAATTTATTACTTCGTTTATCTTTCCTCTGATTATTGATTAAGGAATAAACGTTGTATCTTGTTTAGTTTTCATGAAAAAAAGGAACTTTAAAAAAATAATAGTTCAAAATTAAGTATTATGCAATTAATTGTTGAGATTTGTTTTAAAAAACGTTTATTTATGCTGTTTAGGAAATGTTCAGTTTCCTTAAAAGAAACTAAATGCATGTGACATAATTGAATAATAATGTATTTAATACAACATTTAGGAAAGACCCAGTATAAACATACTTAGTGACTAACTTTAGCCTGTTACCCCTCGCCAGCATTCTGCACTTAACACTGTCCTGAGCAATCTTTTCTAGTTCTTTCCAGTTGTTATTCATCCCTTTTATGTCTGCTTCCGATTCTTGGCACAGTGTGCTCATTGAACTCTTCCGTTTCCCTTCAGCGTTCCAAGTTAGCGCTTGCCTCGTGATGATTCCCGAAATGTATGTTCTATTGGCCTCAAATGTCTTTTCCTGATTTTCCCATCGACTGATACCTAATTTGTTCTGTTTCATTGTAATCTGTTGCTGATGGTATACGGTCAACAGAAATTCAGTATCTTACGTAAACAACTGTTTATAAATACTTGCGCATTTTCGATGTTGGTTGTAGTAGTTCACGAAGTTTCATTTCCGTACAGTAGAACTGTTTTAATGTGCTTATTGAAGATTATGACTTTCATATTGGTTGACAGTTGTTTTGACATCCATAGTAGTTTCTTCTTCTCTGAGTAGGTCTTGAAACCTGTCGTTGAGCGCTGCTTCGAATTGGTCGAGTTTGTCAGTATATCGAAGGAAGGCTGTATTGAATGTTTGTAATAATGTTTCCCCAAATGTCCATTGCTTCTTCAGCTTCACATTCATCTTGGCAACCACCAGGTAGTGCTGATCTGAGGCCACGTTAGCACCTCTCCTCGTTCTCACGTCTTCCACTGAACTTCTGAATATTTCACTGATGCAGATATGATCGATTTGGTTGTGTGTAGTGTGATATAGTGAGACCCATGTAGTTTTGTGTATTTGTTTGTAGTGGGATATTGTACTGTCTATAACCAGTTTGTTGAATGAACATAAATTTACAAATCTATCAGCATTCTCGTTGTTTACTCCCAGTCAGTCACTGTTTTCCTATGATTTCTTGATACACGGTGTTGTCCATTATGACTTTCGCGTTTAGGAATCCCGTGGAGATCGTCAAGTCATTTCTTGTGCACTTCTGTATGATCGACTGAAGCCTCTCACAAAACTGATCATTATCGTCTTCATTAATATTGTTGATGGGTGCGTAGCAGTGAATGGCAGTCGTTGTGATTGTTTTCTTGTTTGTTTCGAAGGATGTTTTCATGATTCTGAATGTACGAGATTCCTTTCTTATCAGTGTTTTTCTTGCTTGTTTGGACAGCATCATAGGAATTCTTTGAGTATGTGGATCGTTTTGTGCTTCATGAACAGAGTACGACAGCATTTCTCCCGAATCTAATCTATTCCGTCTAGATTGGATCCTATGGGTTTCACTTACTGTGCGAACTATCAATTTTTAACTGTTAATTTTCACAGCTATTTGATTGGTCCTCCTGGTCTCGTACATTGTTCGATCATCCCATATATGTATATTAAACGTTGCTCCGATTGTCAGAAAGTGTATCGGCCTCTTGAATTCCGAAGTATCTTATCTGTAATCAGAAGGCATCGTAATTCTTGTAAACAAAGATCCTTGAGGTCTCAGGATATGTTTAGATCATATTTCTGAGTATCGTTTTTTACGTTAAGTTGTTTTCTACGCGCTGTGGTTTCAGATGCGATGCTAAACGCTTGTCTTTTATCCAATTTCGGGATTGACAATAATCTTATATGGGCTACAGGCTAAGTTTAAAGTTCACAATTAAATAATTTTTGTGATTACATTTATGCTTGAAACTGGCATGGAAAACAATCATTTCCGTTGTTTCTTTATATATTTGAATTAAACTGTTTTCTTATCAATACATTTTAAACAAAATTTAAGTGGCATATAAGCATGTACCATGAAAAATTAATTTGATAATGATATGTATGAAAAAGAGATTCTATATATTGTGTTTATCTTACTGGATAGGGTTGTTTAATGCAATTTATTAAACCTATGTTAGATAATCAAATTTATTCGTACTTTGACTATCTTGTTTGATTGGTAACTTAATATCATTTCTCACGAACATGAATCATTTATATGGAAATGAGTTAGTTATAATATCATATTGGTCAAGCATACCTAAACTAGGAGAATCCAGAATTCAGGTAGTTTATTGAATAGACTAAGAGTATTAAAACAATGTAATATATTGGTGGACTATATTTCGGACAATCTCTTGTTATGTCGCTCAATTTCGTGGATTAGTTGAAGTTAGACATTAACACCGTTGGACGGCGGCTCAGTGGTCTAGTGGTTAAGCTCTCGTGCGCGAATCCAGTAGGTCCTGGGTTTGAATCTCGCAGGGGGCAGGGTCGTGGATGCGCACCGCTGAGTAGTCTCACAATAGGACGAAACGGCTGTCCAGTGCTTCCAGATATGTATATTTGTTAAGATCTATGTATATGAAATAAGAAAATGTCAACTAAACAATTTTATTTAGCTAATGTATCGCATACTTCCGGTAATATTCCGTCTTAGAGATTCATCATTCAAATTTACCAGAAAGACCAGTTGTTTTAACAGTCCGAAATCTTCCACGAAACACTCAGTTCTATATTTAATTGTTTGCCTTTCAATAAAGAATTGTTTAGAAGCATCATGCTAAGACAGCTTCTGCGTTTTACTATCAACCCTTGATTTATTTACGCCTATAACCTCAGATCGCTAACTGCTTTGTTTATTAACTCGTCAGTTTTTAGGATATTTTCAGAAATAATTTATCTTATTCTAGTTCAGTTAATAAACCTTAAATGGAACACTGGAAATATTCTATAAGTTTCCTTAATGAATCATTCGGATCATATGTCATGCTTTTGAAGGATGAGTTCTAAAAGGTTTCGATTGTTGATGAAAAATGTTTATTCAAAGAGGAAACGTTTCTTTTAAATCATGTCATTTATTAAAACTGTACAATCATAATTACGGTTGTTTAACATATATTAGTGTACTGATAGGTAAAATGCTGCTGTGTTATAAATATTCTAAAACTTCAAGTATCTATAGAAACTTTGTTAGTTCACTATTTTAATTTTAAAGCTTTCAGTTGAGTGGTATTCATAACTTTATCTAGAAATTGTCATCGGAGTTCTTTCATTTTGTACTTTCTTCTATGTTATGCCAATCGGATTTTAGTTAGATCTAATAAATTTATTCATTAAATTAATAACTTGTTGGTTTTAAATCAACGCGATTTTGTTATCCATTGAAGACACTTATTCTTCATAGTATAACTCAGTGCTATTTGCTTTTGATACTTTGTCGTATATACATACAAAAGATATCAAGATTATTCAACAACAAGCTAACAGGTTAAGTAAGATTTTACACTATCTAACACTACGCATAACTATTGCTATGAATCTCTTTTTATCAAAAGGTACAATTTTTATTATAATCATGAAATAAGTTTTGTCAATGTTTTCGATCAATAAACGAAATGAACAGGAGAACTATGGAAAACATATGAACCTTAGACAGCTGTCTTTTCATAGTCTACAATTCTTTAGTATTGTACATATCACGTAAATGAAAAACTATTGCAGAATCCACCAAACATTATGAATTGAATATATAGATTTATTTGCAACAAAACAACATTCAAGTAACTAATGAGCATTAAAAAGAAACTGATGAAAATTAAGGACAAAATTGAAGAAAATCATAAAAAATCCATAACTCAACAAATGGTAGACGTACAGCGATCAACTAAATTTTACACTGACTTTGTACATTCGTTTGTGTATAATAATTACGAAATGGCCGTCCAGTGCTTCTAGGTTTTCCATGGTGATCTAGCTTCAATTGACTTATGATTTCAAATATTACAAATTACATAAACGTTATTAAAAATATGTTGAGTGGATTTTATTTCATATGTACCTAATATCTGACGGTATTAATGTGTAAAGTATTTTCACTGCCTACTGGTTGAACTCAGTATTGGAATATGCTTCAGAACAAACTGAAAGATTCTAACTAAAACTAGTAATCATTCAATTTATTCTATATGAATTATGGTTTTAATTAATGTGAACAATAACTTCTTTCTTACTACTAAAATACACTGGACAGTAGGATAATCAAGTACTAAGTACTTTTACATTTGTTTTTAGTATAAAAAACCAAACGACTAATGGAAATTAGTGAAGGCTTTCAATACCTTCTCAACAATGCAAATTTGTGATTTTCCTTAGTTATTTTATAATGCAGTGTAATTCCTTCGGCATAGTTTTCTTGATTAGAATTTTGGAACTTATGATTTAACACAATCTCTAATTCAATAATCATCTTATGGATTTCAACACATTGAAATTTCAGATTGTTTACCAATGAAAGAAAATAATTTCAGATTGAAATTTTCTGACAACTCTTCGCTTACAAAGAATAGAAGGGTTGAAATTCTAATAAATTGTAGAGCATACTTGCGTGTATTAATCTCTATCTACTGATAATGAATTAAATTATCAAGTTTTTTTTCAATTTACTCATTTCTAGACAATCCTACACCAGTACATACACCTATACGTTCAGCAATACCAATACTACGCTTACCAGAATATGTAGCTACACTTAAACGTGACAGTGGAGTAGGCATATCAGAAGAGTATGAAAGTATTGAAACTCCAAGTGACCTAACATGGAAACATGCTAATATGGAGGAGAACAGACCGAAAAATCGTTATGCCAATATCATTGCATATGATCAATCACGTGTAGTTCTTAACGAGATCAGTCGTATACCAGGTTCTGATTATATTAATGCTAATTTTATAGACGGATATCAGAAGAAAAGTGCGTATATTGCAACTCAGGTGAATGATATGTATTTTTTGATATCATAATGAAATGAAGTTCTATTTTTAGTAAATATAATTTCATATGTTAATTGCATTTATCATTACAGTGGCAGTTGACCTTTTACATTGGAAATTTCAATTACAAAAAGCTTTCCAGTTAATTCCAGATAGGCTATTTCTCATTCAAATATCCTAAAATTACTTAGGTCTAATCTTACTTCAATTATTATTGTACTGAATTTTCATTCCATACCGGTCAAGTGTTACCACACTTACGATACTCACTGTATAGCAAGTCTGCTATCATTATTATTGAAGGGTTATTTTAGTGTTTTATTTAGTAGTTATATCTTGTTTAAAGAACTAACAAGCAAATTAATAAAGAAACACAATACAATGATTATCCATAAACTTGAAGTCATGCACAAGCGTCAGTTTATGTCTTTCGTTACCTAAACTACTCAGAAAAACAAAAGAAAACAATTTGCTCAAGTTTAAGGAACATTTGCAATTGTAGTGACCATGTAGCTATTTTTAAAGTCCTGAATATATTTATTAGCTATTTTTGGTATTTCAACAAGATGACTTAAAAATCAGAGCGATTCCTGTTTAAAGATAGCACAAAATATCTTTAAAGCATTATAAAAGGATATTGGAGATATATAGATTGCTCAATTTTGATAAACTCAGAGAAAAATCTTCTTGGCATTAAACTGTCAGTCTTCAACAACACTCACAAAGTGTTATAAACTGTCATAGGAGTTTGTAAAACATCTTTGGAATATGTTTTACCTACATGTCAGATTTTACAGTTAATTCAGATTTTATCACTGAATGTCGGTGGATTAATAAACTTGGCTCTCAACCGGTAAAGTGTAGTTTAGTGGCCCGATGTCTGACTCTATATGGATCGTATGAAGGGTTGTTGAAATAGACATATCGCTAATCCCCATATATGATCATTGACTTAACTCGCGTTAGTGAATAACGGAATTAAATAAGTCAAATACGAGAATGAAGTTTTGAATAGTTACATTTTGTACACTTTCTGATCGAGACAAACGATCCAAGAAACGAAGCAAAGAAAGCGAAGAGAAGAGAACGAAGCGAAATGAAGCTCAGTGGATATTGTGTGTGAGCCAACTCCATATAATCGAGCGTGAATCGATATTTATAGTCAGAACAAAAATAAGTTACAGACATGTGATAAGTAGAATGAGATGTACACACGCATCCGCTCATATAAAAACAGTCAAGGTTGATAAGCAAATAATTAACAAGGCCAAAACGTGACTCAAGAATGAGAGATAAATTGGCCTGTCCAGAAGCTAGACATAAATTATATGGGCTTAACATAGTAACCGACACTACAGTAGCTTCAAACCCTGCCTCAACTTCTTCAGTTTTCATAACTCGGTTGTGCTGCCACAATGTTTAACACAAAACCGATCACTAGCTTTTTTTAATTAATTTGATTTCTCTTAAAGTGTCATTGCAAAAAAGATGTTTATGTGTTAATTATGTTAGGAACAGTTATGTTGGAATAATGTCTCACTGTATAAATTTTACTGAAAACGCAAAAATGCATAATGTTAGCGAGCCAATCGAATTCATATGTTAGGATGAATATAATGTTAACTTTATGCGGGAAAAATCTATAACTACAATCATGATCTGTATTCCACACTATGTAGATTAAACATTTCGAATTTAATTTTGCATGTAAATTGGCGTACCTCATATAACTTATAGTTATTGAGAATAAACTATTATCACTTGGTAATTCTGGGGAAAATAGTTTATTTATAAAGTTGAAAGTTCACACTTCAGAGTCCTAATCTTCTTCGCAAAGTCAGCGGTATAACAACTAATTCACTCTAGCTTATAAAGTATACTGAGATGATATTTGTTGAAAAACAATCTAGTAAAAATCAAAGATTCTTGAAAGTTTGCTGTTCAATAATCATAAAATATGTTGATGAACTGTGAGATAAAAGTACTGTGCTTACTTGAAGATCTCTAGATTCAAATGACTGTAATTGTCAAAATATAACTACGGTCATTGTCTTTAAAGGCAAATCATCCCGTACTAATCGGAAAATAATGAAAATTCCATATCAAAAATGTGATTTCCTTTCAGGCACATTTTACATCAGATATTGCTAGCACTTAAAATAACTCCAAAACAATAAAACAAATAGATTAGGGAGTTTACCTAAGAAACAACAACAATAGATCACATAAACAAGAAAGAGAATGAAACATTAACAAATTTAACGAAATGTTTCCAAACAAATTTCAAAATCAAGTATAAACCTTTTCAATCATGATAAATTTGATCTAAATGTCATTTTGTATAAATGAGTCTCGTTTTCCATCACAAGGATAACAAATTATAGTCACTGACTGAGAAGATCACATTACAACGTATGAAAAATCAAATCATGGCACATATAAGATTTTTTTAGATGAGTCCACTAAACAGTTTTATGAATAAATCTGTATTTACGACTATAGGCGAAACATTGTTTTGGTATTTATTTAGGGTCCATTGCCAGGTACATTTTATGATTTTTGGCGAATGGTATGGGAGCAAAACAGTCGCGTAATTGTAATGATGACACATTTAGAAGAGAGAGCACGTATTAAATGTGATCAATATTGGCCGAATAGAGGAAAAGAAGTATTCACTTTACAACAACAGCAACAATGCCAACAACAAGAGTATAACAGTAAAGTAAATTATGATATTAATTACACCACAGTGCCTACGTACACTGTGATTTTAAAAAGCACACAAGAATTTGCTTACTACACATTGCGTACATTTATTCTACAACGTAATTATGAAACTAATCTACTGGAAACTGATTCAGCTGCCTTCAATCAACATCAGAGTATTAATGATTCTAATATGAATATTGAACAGCGAGAGATTAAACAGTTTCAATTCACAGCATGGCCTGATTATGGTACACCAGATTATCCTCAACCATTACTATTGTTTATACGACGTGTTAGTCAAGTACGTTCACAGTTAATGCATCATCTACAACAAGAACGTTTAATTAATGATGAGAAAGTTAATTCAAGAGAATTAAAATTATCACAATCAAGTGATATTCATAATTCCATGAATTTAAACCTTTCCGATGAAATTGGACCTTTGATTGTACATTGCTCAGCTGGGGTTGGTCGTACAGGTAATTTTGTTGCATCATTTTGTAACAATTTATTTAAGTTTTATAGTGCTTTCATTATTTTTCAAATGTTTAACTAATCCGGACATTCATCCCATTGATTTGAAAAAATTAATAATTAACGATGGTCAGACATTCAACAATCTAACTGATTTGTAACTAGATAGATCCTGTTGTTCACAAATCCGAAAATATAGGAATGAGTATCTGTGATAGTTTTCTGTTACAACTAAAATATTTTATGTCCATGAAAAGCCTGGTCAGAAATCGTAAATTTCACTCTACTTCGCTTTTACTGACTTGGTTTAAATTTAAACGATAATTTCTGGATTAATTTATCATATTACCATCTCCTTATAAAGAAGTAGACATTTTAATAAGTGTAGATAAAAAAGCTTAATGTCTGATTAAACTAAGAAAGACCGGATCTCAGTAGAAAAGTAGGGGTGGGATAAAAGTATTAGAACTTAAAACTTTTTAAATTATGAGAACATCCCAGTAACTAATTATTTACGTACGCCTGTTACCCATCATGAAGGAGTAACACTGTTGAAAACGTTTCCTGGTACCGATAGTAGTGTGATACTTCCTTAGTTCTCACACCTGATCAGATGTCCTTTGGTATATCAGTATACATGATATCCGTACTTCCAGTCTGTCGGCACTTGTCCTTATTGCAGTTACTCCTGTGTCTGACTTCAATGTTTCAGCCGGTTTGTAATCTGGTACTACTGACTTCCCACTCTTCATTTGTCTGATGACCATCCTCATTTCTTCGATTGTCTATGGATTGATATATATATAGAGAGGTCTATATGTGCTGCTTTGATGTTCAGTGGGTTCAGTGTAGCTGGTCTATTGAAAAAATATTCAAATGCTCTACCCATCTATTCCTTTGTTGTTGAATCTCAGTGACTAGCTTGCCTTCTTTGTCCTTGACAGGTCTCTCTCCTTTACTATATTTCCCTGTCAGCTTCTTCGTCTCATGACATAGTTGTCACATATTTCCTTATCTTACAGCTGTTTTCACTATTGCCGCGAAACCTTTCACGTATTTCTGCTTGTCAGCTATAGTGCACTTTGTCAGTTGCTTGTTTGCCTCTATGTGTTGATTTTTTCAGTACATGTTCGAATGTCGTCAATTACTGTCTTCTTGTTCTTTTCTTGAATTTTGTACAGGGTTTCGCCGCAGATCCATTCCTCATGAGTATGCTTGTCGCGGCCCAGCACCTTGTGACACGATGAAGTTTGTGCTTCTTTGATCCCCATACAATTGTCCTCCTTAGTAGTTTCTTCTTCTCGAGGTATATTTTATAGGTCTTGAAACCTGTCGTTGAGCACTATGTTGAATTGTTTAAGTTTGTCAGTATATCGAAGGAAGGCTGTGTTGAATGTTTGTAATACTGTTTCCCCAAATGTCCATTGCTTCTTCAGCTTCACATTCATCTTGGCAACCACCAGGTAGTGCTGATCTGAGGCCACGTTAGCACCTCTCCTCGTTCTCACGTCTTCCACTGAACTTCTGAATATTTCACTGATGCAGATATGATCGATTTGGTTGTGTGTAGTGTGATATAGTGAGACCCAAGTAGCTTTGTGTATTTGTTTGTGGTGGGATATTGTACTGTCTATAACCAGTTTGTTGAATGAACATAAATTTACAAATCTATCAGCATTCTCGTTGTTTACTCCCAGTCAGTCACTGTTTTCCTATGATTTCTTGATACACGGTGTTGTCCATTATGACTTTCGCGTTTAGGAATCCCGTGGAGATCGTCAAGTCATTTCTTGTGCACTTCTGTATGATCGACTGAAGCCTCTCACAAAACTGATCATTATCGTCTTCATTAATATTGTTGATGGGTGCGTAGCAGTGAATGGCAGCCGTTGTGATTGTTTTCTTGTTTGTTTCGAAGGATGTTTTCATGATTCTGAATGTACGAGATTCCTTTCTTATCAGTGTTTTTCTTGCTTGTTTGGACAGCATCATAGGAATTCTTTGAGTATGTGGATCGTTTTGTGCTTCATGAACAGAGTACGACAGCATTTCTCCCGAATCTAATCTATTCCGTATAGATTGGATCCTATGGGTTTCACTTACTGTGCGAACTATCAATTTTTAACTGTTAATTTTCACAGCTATTTGATTGGTCCTCCTGGTCTCGTACATTGTTCGATCATCCCATATATGTATATTAAACGTTGCTCCGGTCGGCCTCTTGAATCCCGAAGATTCTCGGTTTTAATCATGAGGTGTCATAATTATTTCCTCATCGTAGAGGGTAGAGTACAAATCGTTTAATTTGTTTTTTTTTCTGGTTAAGTTCTTTCTTTTACCAATATTTGTGGCCAGCAGCAACCTTAGAAGAAGTATAAGCGGAGTTCAGTCACTGAGTGAACAACAGAAATTCACCTACAAATTTCACTTATATTTCAAAATTCCTGTATCATTAATAAGTACAACATATATAAGCAATCAAAATGGTTTTGAACTAGGTCTTCATCTAACTTTACTCTAATATACAATAATATATATGTGTACATGAAAAAATATCAAACCAATCAAGATAAATTGTGAGTCAGCAATAACAGTGGAATAGATTACATAATTAAAACCAATACTTAAAAAGTATAGATTGATAGCATTATGATAAGTGTTCTAGTTTGTTTAATAATTTCATATATGAATATAAATTTCATCGTATATTAGAGTAAAACCCGATAAGGGTCAAATTGAAAATTTGCCTAAAACAAATTTCATTTATCATGACCACTGAATTGAGTGTTCTGATATCATACTGTCGATAGAACTCCTATCGTGATTGGTTATCCTTTCTATTATACATAAATTCAATTTGATGGACGATTGGTAGTTCATTTTATCCTACTGCCTAACACAAATTTATTTTCGGTCTTGCTGTAACTGTTTACCCCAATGTTATTGCTGGAGGTTCATGCAAAACCGAACTAGTATTATGCTAAAGATATTTTCAATTACATGACTCTAGTAAATTCATTATTCTCAACTAAAATAAATGAATCTTACACAATAATTTTACAATCTTCAAAATAGATTAGAGGCTCTTTTATGACTTTAATCATTTAAAACAATATGTACAGAATTCTGTTAAATGGTTATAATTAACTTTTTTGAACTAAATAACCTTTATTATTAGGTGCATTTATCGTTATCGATTCTCAACTTGAACGACTTAAACACGAAAATTCAGTTGATATATTTGGTGCAGTGTGCAGAATGCGTGCACAAAGAAATTTTATGGTACAAACAGAAGAACAATATGCATTTCTCTACGATGTATTTATTGAAGCAGCTGAAGTACATGGTACTGAAGTTACAGCTCATGGATTATATAATCATGTTGTGAAATTACGTCAACCTGTACCAACATGTATTTTAGCTGGTTATAATTTATTACCAAATGGTTTACAAGATAATAATCATTTGACATCATCTATAAAAATTTCAAGTTTAGAATTAGAATTTAAAGTAAGTAAATGTTTCCAAAGAAATGTTTAAATGATTGTTTGTTTTAATTTAGTTACAAATATCTTAAGTTTTTAATTTTAAGTTATATCTAACTGACTTTTATTTAAACTGTAATTAATCCAATTACATAAGTGTTTTAATACTAAATTTTTATTTGACTTATACTAGGAAATGGGAAAAAATTGTGTAAATAGTTATATAACACCCCTTGAATGTTAAATCAGCTAAGAAACTTGAAGCATCGAAACGTAAACAACGTGATATTCCGTTAGTGTAATGATAAATAGTTCATGAATACTGAACGAAATCCCTAAGGATATACAAGTGTTATAAATACAAAGGCTATATATGAGCTTAATAAAAATTTGCAAATTACGATAGCTGAACACAACATAATTCATTTAATTTAATTTCTTCATAATATATATACAAAATAGTTGTAACTATGTTAGGGTAACAAGCAGTTTAGAGACTAATATTTATAGGAATCAAACTCTGAACATTAAAACTTTGTGACAAATAAAACTAATTGAAACTCTTAAGTATACATCGAATGATATTTATTTTAATCTCGGTCACTTTGCGATACAACGCCATTAGTGACCTCTGCCATTAATGTTATATATCTCTCATTCTGATACATTTCATCTTAGTCATTAAAGTTAAATCAAGAGGTTCTTTGTTTATTGATTATCCTGAATAAAAATATATCAATCTCTGTTATAATTTATCTGGCTTATGGTTAGTTTGTAGGAAAATGATCCATAGCTATTTATTTATTTATTTACTTTTGCTTTATTCAATTCTTTAAATAATTCTACATTTCAGAGATTAAATCGTAATTTAATAAATAAACGTCAAATAACTACAGCCCTGACATATGATAACAAAACAAAAAACCGTGATTTTGACATACTCCCCTATGAATCTAATCGTGTTTGTTTATCATTAATCCGCGGAGTAAATGGATCAGATTATATTAACGCTAGTTATATAGATGGATATCGTAAGAGTCGGGCTTATATTGCAACACAAACACCTTTACCGCATACAGTAGATGATTTTTGGAGATTAATTTGGGAATGTAATTCACCTATAATAGTTGCATTTAGTGATGCTCGAGATATGAATTTAATACCAACAGATAATAATCAATATTGGCCAAGTGATAGATCGACAAGATATCAAAATTTAATGGTTGAACCTATGGTTGAATATAATATGCCACATTTTATATTACGTGAATTTCGATTAACTAATACAACAGATGGTCAATCACGTACTTTAAGACAATTTCAATTGCATGGATGGCCACATGATAGTATAGTACCTAAATCTGCTGAAGCTATTATTGACTTAATTGGACAAGTGCATAAAACTCAAATTCAATTTGGACAAGACGGTCCTATAACTGTGCATTGCAAGTAAGTAAATCCTAAATACTTTTTATAATTCTAAATATTTAAATTAATTTTTACTAGTTTACTTACTTTTTTAAAATCTAACAAAACTATTAATTATCAGTAGTTTGCTTAACTAGTAATTAATACTCCTTAAAAGACCGCTTTGTAGTAGAAAGTATATGTTCTACAAGGAGTAAATTATAATAGTTCTCTTTCTCATATTAAATGGCCTAATAATTCACGTTTACCTTCTAGATCTTCTGTTAATTAGAATGAAAACTTTAATCAATAGTCATGATACTGTATGTAAGAATTAATTACAAATTATGTAGAATAGTTTGCTTTTAATGTCCAATACTTATATTTTATATAGGTACACGTTATTGGTATAAATCTACACAACGTCTTAATAATTTCAAAATGTTAGTTATGAATCCTGAGGATATATAAGATGATCACTTTTAGTTGTGTTCAATATATATTTAACTTAAAATGTTGAGAAGTATTACTATTTCATACAATGTACAATTTCGCTATTTTCGTCGTAGAACGTACAGTTTAAAAAGTGCCTTTTTTATGCCAGTATTTCCATATTTCCAACATATATGTTTTCAAAAATCCAGTAAATTTCATGGATTTTGAAGAAAACATTTGACGGATTAATCAAGCGCATAGTTTCACCGGCTATTAGATAACATACTTGCTATTCTTGGGTAAGTATTTGTCTTGGAATAAGTAAAAAAATAGTTATAATTAAAACACTTAAGCCAAATTGCCATTGACTTTATATATTTATGAACGTGTACAGAATATTTATAGGTCCATGACATAAATACTTACCTAGTCATCATCCATGATTTATTCTGAATGCTGTCTAGTATTCAGTTGACTATTAAGTTCCCTATAAATGAGGCAAACTTACCTATAGTTTGTTAATTGTATTTAATTAATTGTCGTTATTTCACTAAAATAATATCTGATTTCTTATTTAATTTCATCTCATTTCATTTGTATAGTACGGGATCAGGAAGAACCGGTGTATTTATATGTTTAAGTATTTTATTAGACAGAATGAGATCTGAAGGTATGGTAGATATGTTTCTGATTACACGAATGTTACGTACACAACGAATCAATACCATACAAACATCTGATCAATATGCATTTTGTTATGCAGCTACTCTTGAATATTTAGCTTCATTCGATCATTATATGAGTTGATCTGTATTTTTTATTTTAGTCACGGAATATAAGTACTCTACTCTTATTTTCAACCCTTTTATACTGTTAAATTTCTTTACAAATCCATTGTAAACATACCTAAATATACATAATTTAAAAAATGCATTATTCATATAATCAAGATTATTATTCAATTAAACTTGGTTATTAATAATAGAACGAAATAGAGAAGCAAAAATGCATTTACTAAATAAAAATTATATATATATACTACTGAATAAAACTGTACTGAAGATAATTATTGTAATAGTGTTTTGTATAGCAACTTTTTTTAATTTCGAAATGACCTGTTTTCCATAAAGCAAAAGGATCTTTATCAAATACAATTGCTGTTTATTTATTGATTATATATATATATATATATATATATATATATATATATATATATATTCATGTAAAATATTAGTTACCCTAGATACAAAAGTTTCCTTTCATTTTCAATTTTTTTTTCTTCCTATTTTACTTTTGTGATACAATTTTGTTAAGGATTTTCTTGTTTATTTTTATGGATTCTTTCTCTTTTTGATTATTTCCATCTACTTTTCTCATTATATATTATCAGTTACCATTTTTGTTCATATTCTTGTGTATTTTCGTTTTGAAAACAACAATCTCTTTCTTGTTATTTGATTGTTTTTTTTGTATGTATGTGTGTGTGTATGACATTATTTCCAGAGTTTTAGGCTTATTGAAATTATCGATCCAATCGTATATGTATCATTCTCAGAAATTTATATATATATATTGTATAAGTCTATCGTTTACTAAAAATCAATAATGAACGTTATGCTTTTGTTTTCAATAAGAAACGATTCTCATATCATATTGTTGTTGAATTTTAATGTATAATAATGAAAAATTGGTGAACTGGTTTTCTTATAATTGAATTCATGAGTCAATTGAAGCTATACTACCATGGAAAACCTAGAAGCACTAGACAGCCATTTTATCCTCGTATGAGACTAGTCAACAGTGCGTATCCACGATTCCACCCTGCAAGATTCTAACCGATGATCTATCAGTCTCGCACGCGAACACTTAACTTTTAGACCATTGAGCTAGCCGTCATTGAAAGGTGTTATTGTCTAACTTCAACTAATCCACGAAATTGAACAACCATTGTCTTCAGTGAGTTACTATCTCACAATAGACCCGGATGAACTCCACTGGTCACTGATTCTCACAAGAACTCCAGGAAATACTTCTTTAAGTCAGTCATTAGTGAGCATACGATGATTATTATCAGAAAGAGTTCCATACTAAGACGAAAAGGTCGTCTAGTGCTTCCAGGTTTTCCATAGTGGTTTAGCTTCAAATGAATCATGAATTCAACTATAAAATTAGTTTTCGTTACTTGTAATTGACTTTTTTAAAACAAAATCCACTCCACCGATTAGTTATATTTGCAGATGAAGTGAAACTAGACGTCATAAAATGTGTCTTATATATTATTTAATTTAAAAGTTTCTCTTATCCACTTACAGTAGCGAAATTAGTACTCTCATTTGTCGAATTCTATGGTATTTTGGCAGTAAGTTAACATTAAATGTCGTGTGTATTATTATGGCTTATGATTCAATAAAATACTGATATCTATCTGAATACAACATTTTTATGATTAAGGCTACCAAAAAAATACAATCACAAACTGTTATTTTCTTCTCATCTAAAGGTTAAATAAAGTAGAAACGTTCACTTCATACAAACATAAACTATAATGTTAGGTTTCATGATAAGTATATTGCTTTCAATGACAAATACATAAAAATACTTTTAGAAAAGCTCTTTTCCAAAGTTTTATCCTAGTTATCATTGACCATCAAAATGTATCTGGAATCTTATTAGAACTGATGCTGTCAGGAATATACATCCACTTGATCTAGTGACACAACAATGTTTTCATTTAGCCAGGCGTCTTGCTGTTTACTTTCATCGGTCCAAGTGAAAGCAACAGGTACTACACTTTATATACATAATCCAATGATCAGATTTTTAAACTTCAGAAGAATGGTGTAGCAATTAAACAATGCGACACTTGTTACTGCTCGTTAACTGATCGATACCTACAGCCAGAGAGTTGGAACTTTATATACGAATTTGCTACAGTAGGAGTGAAAACTAAAAACTATGATATTTTGTCATTATCTTCTAGTAATACAATCCTACTAGTTTCCGTAAATAAGGAATATTCGTCCTGTTCAGCTTCAAAGTGATTAACGTATTATAATCCACATTTATATTCGTGTTCTAGAAAAAGGATGTCTATTACTATCATTATTTATAAACTCACTACTTTCATGTATCCAATCCCACCTAATTATTCATTCCAAGTAATCTACAGACTGTTTCCGTTTTATTAGATGAAATAAGTGTAATAGATCGATATAGGTATTATAAATAGTCCATAACCCTGTACTCCTTTTATGTTTCAGGTAAACTTTCTTCTTTCATTAGAAAAGTGTTTTCAAATTAATATTCAAAACATTTATCCAACAGTAAAAATCCGTGAATATGGATAGAGTCCTTACCAGGTATATATGTTTGTAAAATGTGTTAAATTATCATCTTGTCAAATAAAATAAGTTGTTAGCATACATCTTAAAAAAAGTCTTGGATTTCTTATATACATTTTTTCCTTTAAATCTTTACTGTAAAATTACTAAGACTATTTTTTTGATTAACTGAACGGCCGTCCAATGCTTCCAGGTTTTTAATGGTGATCTAACATCGATCGGTTCATAATCTCAATAAAAAAACTTAACAATCTCCACAACCCCTAAACTGATAAAACTAATTTGTTCATCCAAAAGCATTTCCACTTTATGCGAACCTAAATATTGTTGAGTGTAACATTATACAATTCCTTATAAACGTATAAGTAGTACAATTACTTGTGTTTGACGAGTGGTCAAATCACTTCTATATTCAAGAACAGTAAAGTGTAAATATTCAGATTTCTGAGTATAATAGGATCACACAGATATTTAAAAATTGTAAACTCTCTCAAGAATAAGCCAACAAATTCAATTTATTTCCCTGATTATACAGAAGGATTTGCAGTGACATCATCAAAATCTTCAAATTACGTATGTTGGACTTTAAAAATGATAGGTCCTATTTTTCTATAGAAAATTTTACAACCCAAAAGCAATTACTTGCCGACTGACCACCTACGTTTTATAATTCTACACTACCGATTGGTAACTTCAGGCATTTTAAAATACGATTAAGGAAGTAATAGTGTACTATAAAGCTTGTGACATTGGGCAATATCGTGGCAGTCCTCACAGGATGCACATATGCCAACAGGAGACGGATAATTGCAGTCCTAAATAACAATGGGAAGTGAGCAAACAACACCAAGTGAATAGTGTACTATGTTAGAGATAACATGACTTTCTTCTTATTTCACATTCTAAAATAAACTGATACTTTGTAAACACCATACGAAAAACAATTATATTTATTTTCTATAAGGCAGGTACTCATTAGATTTAAGGACATAGCGACGATGTACATGTTCGAGTTCGAAGAATATTGTTACATAAGGGCTTTACAAAGATAATCAATTATGGGTGATTCGAAGTAAAACAAAACAATTAAAAATGAGTTAATTAAGTGCTAAACAATTTTCGGAAATATGGTTCAAGGTAGCCATCTGAATTCATTAGTTTGTTAATCCCGTTCTAATATATCCAGTATAAATTCCGTACATTCTACCCGACCTTGACCCGTTGTAGTAACAAATATAATGACAGTGATGTAAAAAGTCGGGAACAGAATGTTTTAGAAATATTGTATTTCACGCAGCCAGACTATCAAGCCGATGATGAATGTAATTGATCCGATGTAATATGGATACCAATTTGCAATGAAACCAATTACAACTCATTAAATGAGTTTATTTATTTTTTATTTGAACACATAAATATTGGTACAAGAATGTGCCAAATATATATGCGCCACACAAAACAATGAGAATTTAAGGGGAACGAAAAAGAAGAGAATAATAACGAAGAGAATGATGTAAGGTGGAGTAATAATAATAATGGTAAAAATGGGGGAACGGAAAGGTACAACCAGGAGAAATCTTTCAGGTAAGGGAGACACAACCATTTTTTATGAAGTAAAAGAAGGTTACAGCAGGATCGCCACTGGCTTCTATTCTGAACCATATCTGATAACGTCTCTATAGCAACTGTGTTGCACCATATCTCAAACCCCAGCCAGGGAGTCGTGAAGGACCAACAGAAGCCAGTCCTCTGTAGCTTTCTTCCATACCCCGACACAATGTCATATACTGACTACCTCTCCGCTTCTTCCAACCAGTCACAGAGTCGGCAAATAATGCACGACGTAGAATTCTCTGAGACTACATTCGTAAAACATGTCAAATCCACCGGAGTCCGTGTTTCAAGATGGTGACATCGATTGCATTATCATCTCTGTGCCCGAACACACGATGCCGAACCTCTGCACTACTAACATGGTGTTGCCACTGAATGTCAGCAATCCTTCGGAGACAGCGATGATCGAACACAGAGAGTCGTCTAACATCCTCAACTCGGAGAGGCCAGGTTTCACAAGCATAGAGCAAAACTGCTCTCACCGACGCGTTGTAGATCCGACCTTTTACAGCCAGACTAACATCACGAAGGCGCCATAGATGGCCCAGGTTGGCATAAGCCGCTCTGACTTTCACTATACGTGCATTGATCTCATCACTCACATCCCTACCAACACGTATGCAGCTACCTAGATACACAGACTTCTAAACTACTTCTATCTGCTCACCATTCAGGGTGAGTACAGGGTTAGGATCCTGCCAGTCTTGTAGAAGTACTTTGCACTTCGAAGGTGCAAAGCTCATACCGTACCTACGGACACTGATTGCCAACTGATTAAGTGCGGATTGCATGGCTTGGGCATTATCGCACAGTAAGACAATATCGTCCGTATACTCAAGGTCGAGAAGTCTT